CCCCTCTCTCTTTTGAAGGGATGAGTGTTGTCAGACGGTGTGATTGGGGAGATTGTATTCCAGGCTTGCCTCCTCAGTATCCATAGATAGGAGTGTTGGCACCTGTCACTGGTAAAGTTGCCATACAGGAATAAAAACGGTGAGGCAATCCGTATAACTAAGATAGAAAAATGTTACTCTGTTCTCTCAATGCACCTGAAAATGCCATGTCCCACCCAGGAAATATTCTGTTCCAACAGAGTGGGAAGGGTGGCGTAGCACCCAGGACACCGAACTGGGGCGCAACAGACCTGGGTTCAATTCCTACCTTGGTTGCTGACTTCCTAGGTAACTATGGGCAAGTCATTTTATCTACCTGGTGCCTCAGTTCCCCATCTGTAAAACGGGGATGGTACTTCCCTACCTTACAAGGATGTTGTGAGATCCGTTGAAATCCGTTGAAGATCGTGAGAAATTCAGATCCTATGGTGATGGGAGCCATATACTTACCTAGACAGCGCCCTGACACATTTGCTCCATCCTGATGTGCTTTTTCAGGTGGACGTTCCATAGGTAGCTGCTGGGACTCAGCAGCAGAGCATGCCTTCAAACGAACACGTCCATTACTATGCGCAAGTCTGCACTACCGCGCTACATCGGCGCACCTGCACCAGTTCAGTTGTGCCACTGAAGACGCGCTATGCCAATGGGAGAGCGCACTCCCACTGACATAATTACTCCACCTCCGTGAGAGGTGGAAGCAATGTCAGCAGGAGAGCGTCTCCTGCCAACATAGCGCAGTGTGGACAGCACTTTAAGTCGATGTAACTTATGTCTCTCGACGGGGGTGTTGTTTTTGCATCAACTTAATCGATTACATCGACTTAATCGGTAGTGTAGACGAGCCCTGAGTGACTTAGCTGAATGGTTGGTTGAACCAAATATCGGTCAAATGTAAACTGTTTTTATGCTCTGTCTGCTGCAAGCGGTAATTGATGTTTTCAGTCCTCACAAGCACTGATACACATCCTACATCTCCCGTCTCGGGCCCTTACACTGCTCTGACTAAGCACCTCAGTTCCAATCTGCAATTTGCTATGCTAGTCCAGTCCTGGACTCCAGCCCGAAGTCTGTTCCTGCTCTTCGTCCCTGACTTGGATCTCTGCTAAACCGAGACTGCCAGCTCTGCAGTGGTTTTATGATGTGTAGAAATACCTGTCAGGGATTCTGTCACTCACCAAAATAATTTCATTTGCGATCCATGGTGCATTTGATCGCTGGTCTGAAAGCCAGTCCATTAACCCATTGCATCCCCCAAACTTCATTCCATATTATTATGAATCTGTGACGCAATAATAGTTCAGTGGAGGACAGCCTAATGAATCTGTTGAAGATGTATCTGCCGCTGCTTTTCTGTGTCCTGACTGGAGGATGATAGGACAGCTAGGAGGGTAAGACTCCATGGCAGTAGGGAGGACAGTTATAGACTTGGGAGGAGATGATGAAGGCAGCTGTTCCTGGCAGTGGCTCAAAATGGCTGAGCTGTATCTTCTGGAGTTACATGTGTGTGGCTGGGCATATCTTTGTTTAAGAGTAACTGGACTAATGTACCTAGCATGAATAAAAACATGCACTTACACAAACTACTCTGCACCTTACGTTGACATCAGTTTCTTTCCGACAAGGGTAAATGACCCACTGCAAAGCCCTGAAATTAATGGGAGCTTGGCCAAGGGCCAAGAATATTGTTATTTTATCACTATCATACATGGGATTGTGATGTTTGAAAGATGCGGATGTTTATATAGCAGCAGCCAACACTGCCATGTTCTGGGCCCTTAAGCAGCCTCTGTGGAAATATCGGGACCTCTATTTTGCCATGAAACTGCAGATCTATAAAACTACAGTTATACCAGCGCTGTTGTACAGCAGTGAAATGTGAGGACTGAGGAATGGCTGAAGACAGGTGGACTGATGTTTTTGATTCTCGCCATTTTCATCAGCTGCTTCATATTAAGTGGGAGGACAAGATCAGTAATGAAGATATTCATAGCAACCGCCAGCATCAGCACTGGTTCAATTTTGGTGGCTTTCTTGGTTTGGACATATTATTAGGATGGAAGACATGAATTTCAAAGCATATTTGCCAAGGAATGGAGATGAAAAGTGGTCTGCAGTAGCTTTGGTTCTACAATAAGATTGCCAGTGATGGACAGAAACTGAATATCCAGGCAGATTGTCGTATGGACCTAGCTAGAGATTGATACGCTCCTTTGGGATGTGCCTTGAGTATGATGATTGTTATCATAATATGTTGCATTTCTATAGCCATTTCTGTCCAAGAATCTCAAAGAATTTTGCAAACACAGATGAATTAAACCACACAACACCTTTGTGAAGTAGAGAACTAATATTATTATTACTTCTATTTTACAGGTGATGAAACTGAGGCACAGAGAAATTAAGGCCAAATTTTTTCAAAAGTGGCCGTTAATTTTAGGTGCCACAAAACTGAGGAACTCAAAATCAGTGGCCACTTCACAAAATTTTGGACTAAGTAACTCACCAAGGAATATGCAGGACATAAGAGCTGGCAACAGAGCCCCAGTATCTTCACTCCAACTTCTTTGCTTTAGCCACATGACCATCTTTTCCCTCCCAAATAGGCAGCTACATGCCAGTACCAAATCCACCCAACTATGTGAAGACAGAGCCCGATTTTTATTAAATTAGAATTGAACCATAGTCTGTTTTGACTTAATAATCTAAATTTACAAGCTCCCTCCTAAATGAAGACCACCTGAGGACTACGGATCTGATAGCCCTGGTTAGAATGTCCCTTGTATTTGTAAAAGCTGCCTTCTGTGGACAGTTTCCAACAGACCCAAACTTTGCTGAGCCTTACTTCACAGGTCTGTATCACATTGCTTAAGCTTAGCTTGCAATATGATATGTCTCCACAGAAATCAAACAGCTGCAGGGCCACCTGACTTGGGCTTGCAGGGCTTAGGCTGCGGGGCTGTAAAATTGCTGTGTAGACAGCCCAAGCCCAAACATCTATACAGCCTAAGCCACACGAGCCCAAGTCAGCTGACCCAGGCCAGCCACGGCTGTGTCACAGATCTTTTATTCCAGTGTAGACGTACCCTCAGAGTCCTCAATATACCTTGGGTTTATCAAGATTCACCTTCCCAGTGCCATGGTATTGAATCCTCACATCGGGACATTGCATCTGTGTTTTGTGTCAGGGTGGAAGTACAGTTCATGCAGTAATATCAGGCTTTAAGATTAAACTCGATAAGTTTATGGAGGAGATGTTATGATGGGATAACATGATTTTGGTAATTAATTGATCTTTAAATATTCATGGTAAATAGGCCCAATGGCCTGTGATGGGATGTTAGATGGGGTGGGATCTGAGTTACTATAGAAAATTCTTTTCTGTAGTATCTGGCTGGTGAATCTTGCCCATATGCTCAGGGTTTAGCTGATCGCCATATTTGGGGTCGGGAAGGAATTTTCCTCCAGGGCAGATTGGAAGAGGCCCTGGAGGTTTTTCGCCTTCCTCTGTAGCATGGGGCACGGGTCACTTACTGGAGGATTCTCTGCTTCTTGAAGTCTTTAAACCATGATTTGAGGACTTCAATAGCTCAGACATAGGTGAGAGGTTTCTCGCAGGAGTGGGTGGGTGAGATTCTGTGGCCTGCATTGTGCAGGAGGTCGGACTAGATGATCATAATGGTCCCTTCTGATCTTAATATCTATCTATGAATCATTGTGCATCAGTGCTGAGCTACAAACATTGTGACATAAAACAGGCATCACCAGCCACATGATTATTTTGGCCCAAAGGGCAAATACACAACTGGGGCAGCCTTATAATTACTAGGAGGTGTCAGTAGGAGTGTTACTGAGTCTTGGGGAAGTGCTTAGGCCAACTTGGGTCCCTCCTGCTTTGTCAGGCTGCCTTAAGTGGATACTATAAAGTAAATAGTCATTGCTGTAATCTTTAGGAAGTCCATCCTTTCCTGTTTTTTTAAAACAAAGTTGCATGTTAAAATCGTGGATTAGCTGTAGTTATGCGCACTGGAGAAGCCGAGAGCAAGTGAAAGATGACATTACCCTTGATAATTGCAAAGGTTCAGGGGGATGATTCAGGTGCATGTATCTGATTGGTGTGAAAGTGGTTTTTTAAAAACTAAGCTAGCATATGCCATGACTACCTTTAATTTTATACACAGGGCCAGGTAAAAATATCTGATGAGAGGCAACTGGGCTGCAGTTCTGCAGGATCAGTGTATAGCTCTCCATGCCTCTTCTCCCTGGCATGTTATAATACAATTTGAATGGAGCACAATGGGTAGAGTTCTTTTCGAATCCTGTAAGTGTCCATCCCAGGAGCCTCTATCCTAATCTAGGTGGTGCAGGGGAATATGTGGTCTTTGGTGGCTGCATCTTCACTGCAGAAAAGCACTGTGCTGATGGGTAAATTACCATACTGGTTTTGGGGGGGGCTAATAGAGACTCATGCATTTTTAGGGGTGTATTGCTATGTAGGAGTTGGGTGGAAAGCTGGGCTTCCCCTAAGCACTGACAATACATACAACTATGCCTCCATCAATATGGGCTAGACACTCTAGGTTCCAAATGGGACCCCAAGAATATGAGCTTCTTCAACGCAAGACCCTGGTCTTTTCATTGGCCTTCGTGGGCTTTGCTGAAGTGAGATAAGAACTCAGAAATCTGTTCCTGAAAGAGATGCATCAGAGCCTGATTTAAAGTTGCCTCTGTTTCTGAAGGTTTTCTCACAATTATGTGTTAGGATTATTCTTCCGGGTAGCCACTTCCTGGGTACGATTCTGTCTCACAAATGGGTTTCAGCTGAGGTCAGGGAGGGGAGTGTTGTTCTGTCTCTCCTAAATTATGTAGAAGGCTCCCAGATACCACTGTGGTGGGCAGATTACAAATATATCTAATAAGTATAGGTTTAGATGCTCATTTGATTGTGTTTTGCTTTACAGGTCGCCACATTATGCCTGCCCTGAAGTGATCAGGGTAAGTTAGCTTGTACTCTCAGCATCTGTATAAAAGCATGTCACTCGTTACATGGATGCAGGCAGGTACCCACTACAGGAAGTGATCCCAAGGCAGTCAGCATTGCAAATGCTTAATATGACTGTCATTTTCCTTTATGTGACAAGGCCCAAAAGCAAGTTCCACCACTAATGTAAAGGTCATGAACATATGTCATTCTCAGAGGGCAGAGGTCACTCATGATGGCACAGCTACTTCAGTCGCTTGACCAGCCAGAAATACAATGGTTTTGTTTTCCATGTTACTTCCATCCAGTGGGCCTCCATGTCCCCTATGGAGTCCCTAAATATCCCCTCAAGACGAAGAAAACTGGATTGGACTGTCAGCACTGTTACTAGTTTGCTATTGAGCAATAGGAGGTACTCCCTTCTCCTGCTCTTTCTTCTTCCCCTAAGGCTGGCTGCTGTAGGCTCTGGTGGCCTAGGGCTCCAAAGGCCAGGCTTCCCACCTGTTGATGCACAGCAGTAATATGAAGCCAAGTGGTTCAGAAAATCAATAGAAGAGAATTGCCAGAAAACATTACAAGTTAGCAAATAATATGACCCATTCCAAGCTCCATAAAGAGCTAACCAGGAGAGAAGCAGCTTCTTGATATCCTGAAGGCATCTCTGACATTTGATTAAGTGCTGACTCCTTAGTTCTTTTACTGCTCTGTGGCCATTCGCTCCCTTCCCCATATTGCAGGCTTACATCCCTCAGACAAGGACATAACACTGACTTTCACAAGAACCCATGAGCCGCTCTGGCCTGCTACTTAGGTAGCTCTCAAGAAAGCAGCTTCTTGGATCAAAACTTCAGGTCTCTCACTCTCCCCTTCCTCATTATTCAAGGATGGCTAATTCTCTTACTAACAAGCATTCATTTAAACTCCTATCTCTGTTTCACAGGGAGAAAAATATGATGGGAGGAAAGCGGATGTCTGGAGCTGTGGAGTCATTTTATTTGCATTGTTAGTGGTGAGTCATCATCCTTGCTACCTCCTTTAAACAGAAAAAAACCCCACAATGCTGATGTATTTCATGTTAAATCTACTGACATCATGTAAGTCTCTCCTGGGTTCCTTCTCTCTTTCTGTATCTCTCAGCTGCATCTTCTATCTGTCAGCATCCGTCCCAAAAGGGAATGCATGACAAATATTTTACTTCGCCTGTGAAGGGCTGCCACCCTGTACAGCAGAGCAGAGGGGATTGTGGGAAAGCTGCTTTCCTATATGCTCTTTGCTCTGTTATTGTGGGGCAGTGCTTTAAGAACCTGATTCAAAACTCACTGAAGTCAAATGGCCCCAGAGGGATAGGATGGTCAGGGTTGCAACTTCAGGACCGGGAGGAGCCTAGATTGCCCTTCACAGGATCAGGAAAGTGGTTTGGTTTAGTGTATTTTTTTAATTACATGTATCTGCATCTTGATTCAAATGGTTTTGTCAAGAACTGAGTGAAATGTAACAGCTGTGGTTCATGCCAATTTTGAGCCTCTGTAAACTGCATTTAGTGCAGTTGAGAATGTAGAATTGAGCCAAAAGTACCATGTTTCAACACAGATAATAATTCCTTTCCTGGCACCCAAAATATACTGTTTCAGAATTTGTCCCTGGCTCAGTGAAAGGTTCATGAGCTGCACAGAACTTGTTCTGAGTTACACAGATGGTCTGAAACCTCAAAACCAGACAAAAATTGTAACAAAACCTGAAATCAAGTGAGTTTTGCCTCTGTTCAGCTTTATAAAGGAAATCTGATTTGTACTCCCATAAGGAAGAAGTAGGTTGCCATAAGTGAAAAGTAGGATAGACTTAATGTGTATGAAATTATTTGTCTTGTTTGTAATATGTCAAATGATCATCTACAGTTACAAACAGCAAAACTCCTTGAGCCATATTCTGTTGTCCTTGCACAGTTATTATCCGGTTCCCTCTCAGGCAAACTTCTACTGAAATCCAGTGGGAGTTTGCCTGAGTGAAGAATGTGATTTGACCTTTTGAAACAACAGGAAAAAGAGACCGAGAAAAGCTGCCTGGGAGTTATCAGAGTGAGTACTCCATTCTCAAGAGGATGCCCTTCGAGATTTTGGACCTCACTGTCTCAGGAAAATGTTTTGGGTTGTTTCTAGGTATAAACCTGAGCCTTTAAAGCAGTTGAAACAAGCCCATCACTGATGCTCAGTGCCAAGCATCAGGTTAATTACATCAAGATAAACACCCACTAAAAGTCTTAGGCCAATAGAAATTGCTAGTAATTAGCGGCCTTTAGTTGCTATGTCCAGGAAATGCTGCATTTTATCATGAATTATATTACATTAGCCAAAGTACCTAACTCTCAATATTGATTTTGCTTTCAGTCCTGAATAGTTATGAGGAACTAGGTAACTGGAGGGACTGGTAATGAATATGAGGCCTTTTGCTTCTAGGCCACTAGTTTGAACAAACACAGGTTGGTAATGACTGATGATTGTCAGCATCAAATGGGCTTTTGGTGGCTTCTGTAAAGAGATTTATTGGCCTCAGTCTGTTATATGCACCGGATTACCCTACACAAGCATTACATGCACTGAAGTAAATACAGTGTAAACACTGACATTTAGAGCCTGGCTGTAAGAGTTGCTGAGAACGGGCAACTTGCATGGATTTGATGGGAATTGAGGACACAGCGCATCTACCAGGATCATGTCACTAACTTGTGGGGAGAGAGATTCTCTGGTGAGACATGGGCTTGTGATAAAACCATATCATAGTTTCATCCAGTGGACCTCCAGAACCCTCAAGCTCTTAAAGCATCCTAATTCAATCCTGGGGCACACGGGAAAGAATCCTGGAATAATGCCGATGTCCCAAACAAACTCCTGGTTGATGACCCCAGAAAATAATTTACAGCTTTTAACCTACCCTGGAAACAGTAGTCTGCATTGAATCATTTCAGAACATCGCATGGCCGATGTTACCCTCTCTTACATCTCTGGAAGATGAGAGATAATGAACAATGTGACTGTGGTCACCAGTTGCAATCTGTGGACCACATTGTAATCAGTGCACACTTCAACTGTTTGCTGGTGGCATTTTGGACTTGTGACAAGCCACTTCCGAAGCCACACATTGACTCCCTATTCTGAACTTGGTTACTTGAACATTGCTGATCACCTCTCTGCTACTAAACGTTGAGTTGAATTTACGTGGATCCCTGAGTCTTTTAAGAATTTGCCTGAGAAGGCAACATCATATTTTGCGTTCTATTTTATTCTCTTTTTATTTTTCAATTTTAATATAAAAAGCTACCTCCAAGATTCTATTTCCGTGTTGGAAAAAGTAAAGCAATGCTAAGCAATTATCAACAGATGAAGAAGGTGTGCTTTACTTCTTATAATGGTACAGTGACTTTCTTAATGTCTTTTCTTTTCTTTTCTTTTCTTTTCTTCAAATTGCTCAACTTTCCACCTTTTACCCTCTCCCATTCCTCTTTTCTCCTCTCTCCCACCCACCCACAATTCCTCCATCATATCCCTGCAGGGTGCCCTGCCATTTGATGACGACAACTTGCGGCAGTTGTTGGAGAAGGTGAAGCGGGGTGTGTTCCACATGCCACATTTCATCCCTCCGGACTGTCAGAACCTCTTGCGGGGGATGATTGAAGTGGATGCCTCGAAACGTCTCACGGTAAGAGGGTATTCACTGCAAATCATGTGATCGGTATGTTTTCAGGACTTTCTATCTATGTTTCTGTGTGTGGGATCCCCCCCATCCTCTCTCCCTATATGTATTGTTGCACAATTAAAGTAACTCTCCACATTGCAGCTGCCCAAAGGCTCCTCTCCCTGAACCATGGATGAAGGGAGTGGATACAGGTTTGGGGAAGAAGCAGACTTCCTTCTCTTGCAAATGATGAGGGCATTTTAGTTTTGAATTGTTACTCTGCTTTGATTTTCCTTTGTATTGAAATGTGTACGTATTTACAATAAAACTCCCCTGCTGATGGCACTGCCAAGTGGTTGGTATATTTTGGAATCAGCCTTGGAACTCTGGCTCCTCAGCTTAGCAAACTGGGTTTGTCATAGAAGTGATGTACTATTAGAGGGCCAGGACTGCCCTTTCACCCCTTCCTGGTGTAAGGTCATCATCTCTTGCACTTCTGGGTGAAGCAATGGTTCATGCATTGTAGACTCATGAATCTCATGGTGCACTGCATTGTATCCTGGGTGCATTATAGTGTCCTCTGGCAGCCTGGATACCAGGTTCTTGGAACCATATCTTCTAGAGTCCTTATGCTTTGTGTGGTAGGCTGTGGTACCCTGTGCCCTGGACACATCATGTTGAGCCACCTGGGATTCTGCACCCAAGCTGAGTTCCACCACTCCCTCAGAGACCTTGCCCCCTGAATGCGTTGGAATGATCATGTCCGTCACTGATACCATGTTAATGTTTTGGGGTATTTTGAAAATTTAGCAATAACAATAATTTTGAAGAGCAAGATTGCTTGCTATTCAGTAGAGGTTTCTGGCTCTATGGGTATTCTGGCCTTTATAAATCACATTGTCAGTCCCCGGTGATGATTTTATACAGATTTACTAAGCTCGCAGATTCTGAGTGGGAGTATGTATAAAGAAATGCAAATTTAAAACTCCTCCTGGTTCTTCATTCTGCTAAAATATTTATAAATAAACTCTCCTCCGATCAGTGCTTGGCGCCTCTGCAGAGACTGCTAACAGCAGAATCAGTCTGCACTGGCTGCGATGATGGCTTTGGGAAGTAGACACCTGTCTGTTAGGAAGTAACGGAACTCCTCCTACCTCCAAATTCCTTACCAAACCAGGTCATGTTCCATTCGGTGAGCCAGAGGTGAAAAGCTTTGTATATTCTTATTCATATCCTTCCTGAGCCATCCTTCCCCTACAAATGAGTAAAGCAGGCCAAAAAATTTTCAAACAAAAATGTTCGTTTATTGAAACCAGGCCATTTTTCTAAAAAAAAAAAAAAAAAAAGTCTAACAAATTGTCAACATTTTTCATTTTGTGTGTGAATTTCATGCCTTTTTTCTATAATTTAATTGAAAGCATTATCAAAACGATAATCAAACCTATATTTTCAATAAAAATCGGGGGGGGGAACGGGGGGAGGGGAAATTGGAGGTTTTTTAACAGAAAAATGACTTGGTTAACACATTCAAACTAAAGCAATTTGGAAAGAGGATTTTTTTCCAAAAATAGGCATTTTTCAGCTGCATAAGGCCCTGATCCTGCAGCACTACAGGCAGTGGGAGCTTTGGCATAGAGAGGAAGGATGGCTCAGTGGTTACAATGCTAGCCTGAGACTTGGAAAACACAGCTTCAATTCCCCGCTCTTCCAGAGACTTCCTGTATTGCCTTGGGCATGTCACTTAGTCTCTCTGTGCTTCAGTTTTCTATCTGTAAAATGAGGATAACAGTACTTCCTTACTTCACAGGGGTGTTGTGAGGATAAATGCATTAAAGATAAGGCACTCAGATACTAAGGTAATGTAAATACCTGAGATAGATGGCATGCTATTCATTTAGGGATTGATCTGTCTAGCGTGTCTTTTGCATACAAAGATTACTAGCTTGTTTAGGAGTCCACCACAAAGCTGAACAGTTAAAATGTTCATACTTTCCTTATAAAGGAAATATTAAATAATGGACTCTCCAATCTAGCAGAGAAAGATATAACACAATATAACACAATCCAATGGCTGCAAGTTGAAGCTAGACAAACTCAGACTGGAAATAAGGTGTAAATTTTCACCAGTGTGGGTAATTAACCATTGGAACACCTTACCAAAGGTCATGGTGGATTCTCCATCATTAACAATTTTAAAATCCATATTGGATGTTTTTCTGAAAGTGATGGTCTAGGAATTGTTTGGGGGAAGTTCTCTATTCTGAGTTATACAGGTCAGGCTAGAGGGTCACAAAGTTCCCTTCTGGGCTTGGAATCTATGAAAAGGTCATGGTTCCAGTGAACTGAGGGTGATGAACCAGGTATCTGACACTAGACCCTCTTCAGTGTGTCAGGGCTTTAGGTTCACCTTTGAACCAAGCTCATTTTATAGGGCTGTCTCTGAATTTTCGGCATTATTTAATGCAGCAAAGCATATGCGATAAAGGAGGAAAAACGGTTAAAGTAATTCTGGAGTGACTCACTCCTCATCCTGATCAAAAAGCAAAGCTGCTATTTTCATTTTTCCATAGGAAAAAGCAAACAGGTCTGATGTACATTGATAGACGGTATCTTGAGGACAGGGAATAAGAATATGAAATGAATTTATTCAAGAGATAAAAGCTGCCAGGGGTGGGGGACACCACAGAGCTCTTCTTTATGGGACACAATCTGTATTTTCATTATTTTGGGGGCTCTCAATTTGCTGTCCCCACTGTCTGCTGATGGCACACTTGTCTTTCCATTGTGTTAGCATCTTCATCACTTAGACAGCCATATAAAAGGGATCTGTCTGTTTATTGCACTATGGCTAGGATGTCAATTTCATTCTAAGGAGAGAGCTGGATTCCATGTTAGTTGTGGTCCATGGAGCAACGTAGAAATGTAGGACTACGTGCTACCCCCAATTCACAGCAGATCTCCCACTCATGCCATGCCATATCAGCCAAGAATATGGCTGATATGTAGTAACAAATTTTGAAACTATTACTATTATTTATAATTTGTTCAGTACCTTAATGTCATATTCACCATTGCTCAGTGGGAAAATATGGTCACCCACAGGAGTGCAACTATTTTTGCCCTTTTTACCCCTTCTCTCTCTGTTTTGCTCCTTCTCCCTTATCTTCTGTCTCACTTCTTTTCTTCCCAATGCAGTTTCCTTCTGTACAGCAATTCCCACTTCGCACAGGGCTTCACACTCACTCCCTTCCCCATTCCATCTGCTAAAATGATCAACAACAAAAGACAGGTTTCAGAGTAGCAGCCGTGTTAGTCTGTATTCGCAAAAAGAAAAGAAGGACTTGTGGCACCTTAGAGACTCCTAACAACAAAAGAGTTAATGTTGACATTTAAACTGCCATCATTGGGCTGTAGCACCAAGTCCCCATTAGGATGAATGGAAGGTGGGGCAGTTCACATCTCTGAGATTTAGGAAGATATCACTGCCTGTTTACACACCCTTGAGCGGAGCTCTGGGCTGGGGATTGGGGTGCAGGAGCAGGAGCAAGGTGCAGGTTCCAGCCGGGAGGTGCTTACCACAGGCCGCTCCCGATTGGCAGTGCAGCGGGGCTCAAGCAGGCTGCCTGCCTGCCGTGGCCCCATGCTGCTCCCGGAAGCAGCTGGCTGCTGGCACGTCTCTGCGTGCAGCCCCTGAGGAGGGGAGGGGGCAGCGGGTCTCCTGCCAATGGGAGCTGCAGGGACGGGTGCTGGGGATGGCGGCAGCACGCGGAACTGCTTCACCGCTCCCTCCCTTCCCCCAGGGGCTGCACGCAGAGACATGCCAGCAGCCAGCCACTTCTGGGAGCGGCGTGTGGCCACGGCAGGCAGGCAGCCTGCCTGAGCCTACTGCGCCGCTGGACTTTTAGCGGCCTGGAGATTGCGATCGACTGGCCGAAGCTCCAGGATCAACAAGTCGATCGCGATCAATGGGTTGGTGACCACTGTTATAGATGGTCTCGTAGTTAAGTCACTGGGAAAGTCACTTTAATTTCTGTCTGCCTCAGGTCCCCATCTGTAAAGTGGGGGAATAATGATATTCCCTTTGTCTGTCTTGTTTATTTAGACTGCAAGTTTTTCAGGGCAGGGACTGACTGTGTGTGTATATACAGCACCTGGCACAGGAGGGTCCAGACCTTGGTCAGAATATCTAGGGCTTCCCTCTGCCCTCAGTTTGAGTTCTGTTTGTCCACGAAAACCCATATTTTAACGTGATACAACAGAGTAACGCTTGGGACATAAAGCTATTTTTGAATATAGAAGGGACTTGGTAAATGAGTTGGCCTATTAAAAGGGTCAGTTTACGGCACATCAAGGTTTGAAACTTTGCCTCCTTTGTGGCTGAGTCAGATTGGGAACTCTTGCACTAGCGCAAATTAGAGATGGGCCAAACCAGCAGCCCCCACCCCAAGATCCACAAACTTTTGGGAGTTCAGATTTGGATGAGAATTTTGCAGCTCTGGCCCGTCACTGACACTAAGGCAGTTGATGTGCTGAGCCGCTGCCTCTCACGCTGCCAATATTGTCTCATTGGTTCCTTCTGTCTGTATCCAGCTGTTGTCTCTTGTCTTGTACCTAGAGTATAAGCTCTTGGGGAGGACCTTGACTAGGGCTTCTAGGTGCTACTGCAGTACAAATAATCAGAATAATTAACTATGAGGGTGCATTTTTCTGTAAAGCTTTGGTATTGGGAAATCCCACCCCCTTCCCAGGGCCACCATTAAAGCATGAGGAAGCCTCCACTAGCTCTGTGAATGTAGAGGTTGTTTTTGTTGTTTTAGAGTTGGTTTCTTGCGGCAAGTGCCTGCAGTGGAGAGGAGATATGGGGACAGAGCATTTTTACAGCCTTCGTATAATGGCATTACATTCGGGGAAACCCCTGTGAGAACAGTGAGAAGATCCCTGTGGGAAGAGCTATTAAATGCTTTTGTCACTTAAATGCATTTAAACATTGTGTTTAAATGATGGCAGAAGGAGTGAGATAAACTCCCACTGTGGTTCACCCTCCCCTACACTGCATCCTAAAAAGCCTGCAGTCTTCTCCTTGTCAAAACCAATCGCCCTCCCATAACCCCTCCTGTCACTTTAATGCAGATGAAAAGTAACAACGCATTAATTAATTACCTTAAAAAAAAAAGGCAGTGAAGATGTTGGCATCAGCAAGCACACTTGTATGGTATCATAATAACAATTCAATGCAAATCAGAATAGCGATTTTTTTTGTAAAGCACCTTTCATGCTTGGAAAAAAGAAGAGGAGTACCTGTGGCACCTTAGCGACTAGGTGCCGCAAGTACTCCTCTTCTTTTTGCGAATACAGACGAACACGGCTGCTACTCTGAAACCTTTCATATTCGGGGTATCCCAAAGTGCTTTACAATAATTATTTCAATATGGGCAGCGCTGCAGTTGTGTGGACAAACAGCAGCCATTGTGCGCTCAGTGATAGCTCTCACACAGTTTTGGATCTGTTTTTATGGCAAATGCAAAGTGCTGTGGGATCTTTACCTTATATTGGAATGGCTAGCAGAGCAGACCTCTGTTTAATGTCTCATCTGAAGGTCCTCTTACCGGGACATGAACTTGTGACCCCCTCTGACTGGGAAACTGAAGTGATGTTGCTGGAGCCATACTGACATGTCTGCTTAGCACAGCCACCCGAGGACAACAGAGACAGAAAGGCCTGTAAAAGAAACAGGCATGAAAGAGACTTGAACATATCTTAGCCACATCATCTGCCTTCCGTCTGAAATTATTAATAGCTACCCGTTCCCTAGGGTGTATATTATGTACTGGTAGAGTATATGCATCCTGTGGGAGTCATCCATGTGAGATGGCAGCTGTTGCAACAATGTAAATGGGACTTGTACAACAGGGCCTTCTATAAGTATACATGGTGATTGGCCATGTTAAATCCTTGCTGTGGAGCTCTGGGAGGGAAATAGGAAACAGGGAAGGTGTACAAACTGAACTGTCTTTTTAGTCTGTGTTTGTACAGGACAGAGGGGTCCTGGATCAGTTCTGGAGCTTCTAGGCACTGCTGTAATACTAACAGTAAACATTAATTAATACATACGGCTATCTTCTAGATATCTTCTATCTTCTATCTCCCCTGGCTAAGAACCCATGGTCTAGAACATGGTGGTGTGTATGAATTAATTAATTCGGGGGGCAGCTCCCAAATAGGTATCAGGATGTCATGACCCTGCCCTTACCAAAGGCTAAATGGGAGAGGATTTTTGGTCAAGGGGACATAGTATGGAAAAGGTTGAAAGCCACTACTGTTAAGTGCACATCACCTACTCCAACATAACAGGAGGAACAAACATGACTCTTCTCCTTTTTGAGCCCAAACACCTGAGCTCCAGTGATTGAAAAACTCCAGGTGATAAGTGGAGGCAGACTCACCTACTCTTCTCGCTGTCACACCGGCATGGCTGCTGCTTCTGCTCTGTGGTGGTGAAAGGGAGAATGGGGAATCCAGTTGGAACCTTTTGTGTGAAGGTGGTATTCGCTGGTTAGAAGGAGCAGGCTTAACCCTTCCTTTCTCAATTCTAAAGAAGGTCATTCATCTCTCTTAGCTACTCTTCCACCCTCCCGTCAACTGCGTTTCTTTCTTCTCCTCAGATTCTAGGAAAACCCCTGTCACACTTAACAAACCCTCTCGTACACAGTCAGCCTGTGCTCTGCTGGGCTTTCCAGGGCGAGGAGCCATTGTTATATAACATACAAAAATCTCGGTTTCCTCTTTCTCTCTCTCTGTCAGTCTCCTTCTCTCTGTCTCCAAGCATCTGTCTGTCCCTCTCTCTCTTTGGCTTGCCAGTTCTCATTAGCCTGGAAATGAAGTGGAAAGTAATAAGGGCAGGACAGCTGTCTCCGTTCTTGCTGACCGGTTTAATGGGCCTCTGATTTCATCTTATAGACATTATGTGAGCTTCCTTCCAGCTCTCCCCTGCCTCTCACTGATACTCTGCTGGAGCCCATGAGTGTACAGGGCACACATATGCGCACACACAGACACACACACACAAAGGTTCCTCATGTGGTACAGTCTTTTGGCATCTGCAAATGGTCTTTTCCTGCTAGGATGCTGCTGCAGACACACAAGCTTAGATTTGCTGTAGGGGTATATCTGAGCAGGGCTTGTTCTCTCTGTTGATTAGGGAGAAGGGTTCAACACTTCACTTCTGGAAGAGTGACTTTTTCCTGTGCTCGGAAAAAATGTAGGCACCACAAAACAGCCCCTGGGGCCTGTCTTCTGTAGGCAGACGTCCCTACTCTCAAACTTTGGTAACTGGCCAGTCCTCCACTGTATTTATCATTGTCTGTCCAGCACCACAGTCACAGCAACCACTGTCTCACCATTCCCCTGGATGTAGCATGTAGAGAAGGGTCCCTGACTGCAGTGGAAATGGTGTTGCGGGACCCAAGTCCAGCAGAGGAGATTGGAGTCTGGAAGACTTGTGCAGGGGCACTAAATTATATTACTATAAACTCACTCCACTTTGCCTTGATGAAGCTGTTATAATGAACAAATGTGGCCCACCTGGAGTGGGCCTTGGTGGTAATCAAGCTGCACAAATCTCACATTGCCTTCACTTTACTTACCTTTGTGAACATATCTCTTGTCTCAAAGAAAAAACAAATCCTAGAAGAAAAGAAGCTGGGGTTTGGAGTGTCATCACCATCCTGTAGGCAGGCATATGATGTCGATAGCAGGTTTTGGCTGACTTCAATTGGATTATGCGCCTCTTAGCTTATTTTTCAGAGCACTTGCCTGTAAACCTAGTGGAAGCTGGGTTCTACACCCACCCTGTGGATCAGTCATTATGGCCTGTGTGCCTCCCTACATTTCAGGAGATACATTATGGCCTCCCTGTGACTGTGTCTATATCTATTTTAAAAAATAAACTTTATACCAGTGCCTGGTGATTCCTGCTCCTTTGTTCTTGGTGCCCCAAGCGACAGGCCCGTTTGGAATTGGGCAGGTGAGCCAGCAGATGCTTTGTATGCAGTGTAAAACTCCCATCATTTGGGTGCAGTAAGATAATTGCACCAGGGCATCACAGCTGAGATTCATACTTCTGGACTCTGAGGAGGGTGACCGAAGCCCAGCTACAGGCAACCCGCATATTTGGTTGCTTTATGCAGTTTTCCTGTTTTTTGCTTTTTGTTTTTTTGCTGTACTAACTCCTTGTTTTCTCTTTCTTTGTAGCTAGAACACATTCAGAAACACATATGGTATATGTAAGTAACATTTTTAAAAATCTTATTTACTGTCTTCAATATTAGTGCTGTTACAGGGAGCTGGTAATCTAGAAATCTATGAAATGGATTGACTTGAAATCTGTGAAATGGATTGACTTGGATGATATGAAAACAGCTTCCATACAGGCATAGGCCAGGAGGTAAATGAGGGAACATCCAGTGAAGATGAAGTTTTAGCCTATGCAGTGAATACAGTCTCTGTATGTAGATTCAGGCTAGGGACTCTCATATACAGGAAAAACCTGTGTGACAATAGTTTGAAATGGGCCCTGTTTAACTGTCTGCCACTTTCCATACCAACAAATTGCTGGTTTTTTTCTGAATGCACTGTGTCTGAGAGGGTAATTCCTGGGTGAACAGCAAGGGATTAGTAGACACACTTACCTGGATACCCAAGTAACTGCAGGGAATCCCTAGCAAAATCTTAGTAAAACCCTCTTGACAGGCAGACTTTCATGGGTTCCTCTCTGGCATTTGTGGCTTTTCTCCAAATAGGGGGAATAATAAGAGACATTATTAGAAAATAAGCTTTTGTAAACAATCACCTTCTACTTCATAGGCCTTCTTCCCCCTTCTTTACACTGAATTAAGAGGCTGGCTTATGACCTCATAACCTGCTGATGAGCGATAGTTCCATGGCTTGACTGACAGCAGCAGTCTCACGCCATGGAAAAAGAAGTCTATAAGAAAAGTCCATTCCCTTCTCATGATCTGAGTGCGTGGAAGACTGTTGGCTTTTTAAAGTGACCTTGCATTTTTGTATAACTCTAATAGTCCTTCATGAAACACTGATAAATAGGACTTTTTCTTTTTACTGATGATATCCCAGTGAGACTAAAAATAATCCTTTGCAAGTGATAAACAAGAAGGTGGTGCTTTGTTACACACCTCTGGGAGGTCAGCACATCTGGAAGTTCCTTGTGGGTATGCTATAGAAAGCTAGGTCTTGATAGCCTTGCCACCACTGCTTACGAGATGTTTTGTAGGATGCTGTTTATTGTTCCTGTCATTCATTTTATTTTTTAAGCCTTTCGCCAGGAGACAGCCTCTTAATGATTTTTCCTATGATTTTATTGTATGGGCATTATTCATGCACTGGGCTTAGTTGACTTCCATGGGAGTTGAGGATGTTCAGCAATCTGCAGGATCACATGTTTTGTTGCTAGCTGGCCTGAAATGGTGTAGCACTGTGTCCACAGCTTTTTCAAGCTCTCTGGAGTCGTCAGTTGACACGATGCTTTTTTAATATCCAGGAAGATTTTGGGTTTTATAACCGAAAGTTGGTTTGTTTGTTTGTTTGAAACCCTCACTGATGATCGTAGGCCAAATTGAAAAAAGAATTTAGTGTTATTCTCCCACGCTGTGTCCCCAAGCCAAATCCCACCCCCTGAGATTCCAAACTAAAATGTTGCTTGCGATTGATTGTGCAGATGTTCATAATATGATCATCCTACTTGTTTCTGGCATGCTCTGTATGGAATGACATTAGCTGATTGACATCCCTTTTCCTTCTTTCTTGCATGCTTGGATCTGAAATGAAAGTCTTAGGAGTTAAATTAAATTTTTATGATCATTTATATTTTCATAGTAAAGCGTAAGTGTTAACTCCCCACTGAGATTTAAACTGTTCATACCTCACGAATCTATCGTTTCAGATTATCTGCGCACTCAGAAAGATAACACTGCATCACTTTAAATAAGAGTCACAGTTTCAAGGTTTTACTTTGCAGCCTTAAAAGTTAGGCTATTTTCTTTTTCAATGAGGGCCCAATTCTCCACTAACTTGCACCTAATGTAGTCATTTTCACCTGTGTAAATGGAGCATAAAACTCTACCATTCTGATCGGGCAGCGTTTAATGTCCTCTTTGCACTCACTTTGCATGGTCTATCGATGCTAACAAGAAGAGAGTGGCTGTAGACAGAATTGTGTAAAGACCACAAGCTTTGCGAAGCACTTTAAGCTTCTATCCATTTGATTTAATGCACATTACGATCCAATATAAAACCTTTATTCACGGCCATGGATAGTTTAAGATTGCCGATGAATAACTTGAAACTTGTACTCAGTGCTTGAGAAGCGGTTTCACTTAATTCTTGAAATGGATACTCATGGTCATGTTAATCTATGAAAAACATTTACTTGTAGTTAAGAATAATCATGCACCTGCACGTGTAGACAGACAGACAGACAGACAGAGAGAGAGAGACACACACACACACACACACATATGCCCTGAAAGTTCCTGGAGCACAAGCTCCTTCAAAAGAAAGTACCCACTCACCAAGCTGTCACATATTGGTCCAACTTGCCTCCTACTATGTGATAGTCTATGTGATAGTCAACGGACTCAAGTGTAGGTTTCAGAGGGTTTTTTTTTTTAATTGAGATACGTTTTCCAAAATGCAGCTAGATTTTGTGACAGAAGATTTTTGACCCAGAACATAGCTTGCCGAAAATCAGCAGATGAGCATCATTCTTTTCACCTTTGCCAATAAACCAAATGGATGGATGAGATGAGCTATCATGGCACACCCAGAGCTGCAGAATCCTGTAACACTTTGTCGGCTACTTCCTGGCTGAGAAGGTGCTAGGTTTACTTAAAAAAAATGGGAAAATAATGGTACTAATTCTGATTTGATTAGCACCTGCATAATTCCACTGAGTTTACAAAGGAGTAAGTGAGATCTGAATCAAACTCACTGTGCGTATCAGTGAGATACAAGTTAGAAAATTTGTGAGAAGGTTTAAAAAGCCTACCATGAGTTGGAATCATGTCCATTGCATGTACCATCACTCATAAGGGTGGAAGTATTTGTAAAGCAGCATTACATTCAACTGGTCTTTTAAAAAATATGTGCAATTTATAGCAGTCATCCTGTGACATGGTTTGACATGCACGTGAGCTGAAGTGCAACAAAATTTGTCATTTGCTCCAGACGGGGAGGAGAACAGACAGTATGGTAATGCCAATCATAGCACAGAGCTGGTGATTTTCATTACCTGAAGCAGTGAAAGCCTTGCAGGTGATGTTCAGTTTCATCATAGATTTTTTATTTACTTCATGAAGGAGTCTGAAAGTCTATGAGTACATATACAGCCTGACTTTGTCTGATCATGATCATGTTCAGGTCACAAGGAGAGGGCATTCCACAGTGCACAAAAGATAACCACCAGTGCTCTGTAGGCATGGCTCATTGCCTGCCATAAACTCTAATGTAAATGAAGATTTGCGATGGCACGCTGCAACAGATTAGGGATCCTAGCTGGAAATGCAAATTCTCCGGTGATTCTGAAAAATATTCATTTCTTTTTCATCCCTGTTAATTACACTGAGGTTATCTGCTTGTAATACAATGAATGTTTAACTGAGCCAATCCTAACAGTAAGGAACTTCAGGCAGATGAAACAAAAGCCACAGCTGCCTAAGAGCTCAGTCCTGCAGGCACCTACTACTGGGTATAGGACTTGATCCCACATAGCTCACTGAAGTCAATGGCAAAATTTTCATTGACTTTAATGGTTGTGGGTCAGAGACACAGTGCTTACTTATTTACTGCTCGAGGGCTAGATTCTGATAACCCTTCCGCTCCTTGGACAATGACTTACTCCAGGAGTAGTCCCATTGAAATGATTGGGACCGCTCATGGAGTAAGGTATTACTCAACATGAGCAGGTGTATCAGAATCTGAGGATCAGAATTCTGGTACCCTTAGTCATGCTGAGGAGTACCTTACTCCACAAATAATCCCATTGACTTCCAAAGGATTTTTAGGTGGAGTAGGACTCTACTCAGCCAGAGGAACGGGGTCAGAATCTGACCCTGAATGAGTAGTCTCCATGAAGTCTGATCCTATTTACACCAGTGAAAATCCAGAGGGCAAGATTCTGCTTCCTTTACTTGTGTTAAGTAGTCCCTTATTCCACAGAGAGAGCCACTGAAATAAATGGGACTACTCAATGTAAAGGATATAGAATCTGGTCCACGTTGATTTAGCATTATGCTGTATCTGTCCCCAGTGAAACTACTGATGGTAGTAAGTATTACGGGCTAGATGGTGACACCCTTACTCACACGGCTTACTCACCTCTGTTTGACTTCATTGACTCACAGAGTAGCCCCCCATTGACAGTCCCATTGACTTCACTGGGATTATTTGAGTAACGGCTCACTCACGTGAGTAGAGGCTTCACAACCCGGCAGTAAACACTTGCAGGATTAAGCCTTGAGTGTGTTTTGTGTAAACTGGCTTTACCTGTATCTGCTGCACTGCATCTGTTGAGTACTCTTTTTCCAAGGTTAAAAATGGTTACACCAAGATGGGAGAGAGAGTAAGAATCCCTAGGAAGTCTTTCCAGGTGCGTCCAATGATCTACGGTAACACCTCCAGTCTGTGAACCACTGCAGAGGATACATCTTTGAAATGAATTTTAGCCACCTCAATGGGCTGGATTGGCACCTTACCACTTGCACTGACCAAGGTGCAGTGCGTAGCTGCACTGCCCCAGCACACAACAGAGGCTGAATTGTGGCTCTGAGTCTCACAGTTCAGTCTCTGCTTTGCCCTTGCTCCCTGCGGGGAAGTAAGTTGTACCTGCCCTTTTCCTGGCACAGCTTGCTCCCTACTCAGCGCTGTGTTCTGCTGCTCTGGCTGGTGCCTGGAGGAGTGGAACCTCTCTCCACTCACCTGTTCGGCCCTACCATGGCTGCCATCTCCTGTGCATTGTGACCTGCAATGGAGGTAGCCCATCCAGGGACTAAGCGTGCACCTGGCCCCCCCCCATCCCTCTCCTGTGTAGATGCATGGATCAGCACAAGCCTAGAATGGGTTAAATTGCGTGACTATTTGTAGACCATGTTTGGATTATTTCCTCTAACATCAAAGGGAAAATTCTGCCCACGACTCCACATGCTGCAAAGGGCACGGAGGGACATTTGGTGCAGGTTCCTGTAGCCCACAATGGGGAGTCTGTGCCACATGTGAATCCACTGCCCATGTCCCTCCTCTGCATAAGGAAGGGAGACCACCATACAAAAAGGCTACTATAGACCTCAGGCTGCTATGGCATCCATAGAGCCTCTCAAGAAGGTTCAGGATCTTTCCCTGCCCAACTCCTGCAAGAACCCCAGCACCAAGTCCATCTGTCTGAGCTTGGTGCAGGTTGCAGGATTCGATGCCCTGTGAATGAACTCAAAGGATGCTCGATGTGCTTGCACTTTATATTATTCAGTCTCCTGGATCTGGAATGAAACCTTGGCGTGTTATGTATAGCCAGAGTTTTTTGTTGCAGTGAATAATCAATATTTCCTGCTTCTAGTGAATGAAATGAGGCAATTATGTAAGAAGCTTGTTTTAGTCACCTTTTAAAAAATGTTGTGCTTCTCTTACTGATTGCTTTTGTATTCCCAGCTCTGCCACTGACCAGCTGTCTGACCTTGGGCAAGTCCTTTGGGCCAGAATTTTCAAATGTGGGTGTCTAAACATAGGTATCTAGCAGTACGTCTACACAGCAATAAAACATTTGTGGCTGGCCCGTATCCCTTGACTCGGGCTCACGGGGCTCGGGCAGTAGGCTATAAACTTGCAGTTAGATGTTCAGGCTCAGGCTGGAGACTGGACTCTGAGATCCCATGAGGGGATCGTGTCCCAGAGCCCAGGCTCCAGCCTAAGACTGAATGTGTTCACTGCAATTTTATAGCCTTGCAAGCCCAAGTCAGCTGACACAGGCCAGCTGAGGGTTTTTTATTGCAGTGTAGACACACCCTAAGAGTGTATTTAGGCACCTAAATAAAGAGCATGGTTTTTAGAAAGTGCCTAGCACCTTCCTCTAAAAATCAGGCCTATTTAAGATTTCTCAGGTTGGGCACCAGAAAATTGAGGTACCCCAAATCACTTTAGAAAGTTTGGACCCCTATAGGACTGCTCTGAAGCTCATCTCTGTTAAAATTAGGGATGGGTGATATCAACTTCTTCACAGTTCAAACTTTGGGAGGAAATTGTTCAACTTCACTTAGCCCAAGGTCTGATCTGCTCATGACACAGCAGCACCTCTAAGTGGAGTGATTTATAACTGTATGGTATCAGGACGCTAAGCAGCTGATAGTTCTTTTAGGGTTGGTACGATGGGAGCTCTTACTGCCTTTCTGCCCAAACAGAGAAGTTTCTCATTAAAGGCCCAATCCTGCAAGATGCTGATTACTCTCAGCTCCCATTGAATGTGTTCTGAAGGAAATTTCTCTCTGCCTTGCAAGGCCAGACTTCTCAATGGAATGTTGACACTCTTTTTCCATCTGTTGTTTTCGCCTCTGTCTCAGAGCAAGGGTTTCACTTGTTGTTCACCTCTCTCTGTCTGTCTCTGTCTCTTTCTCTCTCAATTGCAGAGGGGGTAAAAATGAACCAGAACCAGAGCAACCAATTCCTCGAAAGGTGCAGATTCGTTCTCTCCCTTCCCTGGAGGACATTGATCCAGACGTGTTAGACAGCATGCACTCCTTAGGCTGTTTCCGCGACCGAAATAAACTCTTACAGGACCTGTTGTCGGAAGAGTAAGCAATCACTCAATCTTAACATCGGTTTGGTGTCGGAGGGTTAGAGGGGATTACCAATGGGATATGGAGCCTTTTACTTCTAGAGCACAGATACGAACATGGCCCCGACTGGGAGGGACTGAAAGTCATTTCTCCTGCCCTGGCTGTTCAGTGGAAATGAGTTGGGAGGAAGGGGGAGGTCTCAGTGTACTCCTTAAAGCATAGGTGCCCCCTTATCACATAAATTACCATTGCAACCGGCATCCTTGTTAGGGAGATATGGCGGGTAGAATTACCTCTCTCAACCTCCATAGTTGATCTCTGCAGGTGAGGACTCACCTGCATGGGCAGGACAGCATAGGGAATTCGCACTGTTACTGCCTGCGCTATGCCTGCATCTGTTGGTAAATAAAATACTTCAGTTTCCAGAGCTCTGCCAGCTTTCCTAAGTGTTATGAGGGGTCGTCTAGTGGGTAACAGACTAGGATCCAGGAGATCTATCTTCAGTTCCTGACTCAGACACAAACTTCCTGTCCGGGCTTGGGCCATTCACTTATATTTACCCTGTGCCTCAGTTCCTCGTCTGTAAAATGGTGGTACATCTGCCTTCCTCAGCGGGGCCTTGGGAGGATCAAATCTATTGATGTTGTCAAGGCACTCAGATACTATGGTGCCGGGGGCCAGATAAGGAAAGAGATCATTAGATTTGGGTTATTTAGAACATTTGTAACTATTGTGTTTGATGGGGGAAGGGTAATCTGCATTTTTTTTCTCTGTGGCATCTGCAGCAAGTTAGAAGGTTTCTTCCTTCATTTATTGTTTTCAGAGAAAACCAAGAGAAAATGATTTATTTTCTTCTCCTTGATCGGAAAGAGAGGTATCCCAGTCATGAGGATGAGGACCTGCCCCCTCGGAATGAAATAGGTATTTCAAACATGGTCCCAGTCATTTTTGACCCATTTCAGTCTGTCCCTCTTGGCTTTATCTTCCTACTGTTGGCATTCGCCCTCCCCTTTCCCACTGAAACAGGATACGATAGTACAAATGTTCTGTGAGGCTCCAGCAACCTGGGGAAGTCAGCTCTGCTGTTGAGCTAAACGTAAAGGGTCTGCTTCTCAGCTACACTAAGGCCCTTTTACACCTCTCTGGCAGTGTAACAGGCCTTCGTATTTACTTTACACTGCCAATGTGGTGTAAAGGAGCTTTAGTTAACTGAGAATTCAGAGCACAGACTAGAGTTTAGACCATCTCCATCATTTGAAATGTAAGCACAGAAAGAGGGGCAGTTAATCAATGAGACATGGTATCTTTTTCTGCTCAGTATCTGGTCCCTTAGGTCCCAGTCTTCTCTAGGCTTAGTTTTACACGTGCAGGTATCCCCAGTAAAGTCAATAGAATTGCTCACATGTGTACAGGTAAGTATGCAGGATCAGGGTCTTTCAAGGAAATGACAGCAGTCACCTCTTCCTGAACATCCGCAAATCCACTCTAAATGTTAAAAGCAGGTAAAACAAACAAAAATCTGAAAAATTGGAAACTTAAACTTTGCGATAGAGCTGGTCACAACATTGGGGAGGGTTGTGAAAATGTCAGTTCCCCCCAGGTTTCAACAAAATTTGAAATTTCAAGGAATATTTTTGTGCAAATTTTAAAATTCGAAATATTTCAAAACAATGGGAGAAAAATCCACAATGGCATCCTAATTTTCTCTCTCTCTCTCTCTCTCTCTATTTTTTTTTTAATTTTTGAAATTCAACATTTTGGTGAAAATATTTGTCCAAAAAATTGAAATTTGGAAAATGTTGACCAGCTGTACTTTTCTAATATATGTATGTGTCAGTGTGTTCATCAGATCTCTATGAAAAATAGCATAGGGGGAAAACTGACAAGTATGATGGATATATGCATATATACATATATATATATATACATATACATGATATTCATATATACATATATGAAGGAGAGATGATGGTGCGTTAGAAAGGTTTTATCAGCCTGAAATACAAATGACCACATGATAGTTGAACAGGCCATGCCGAATGAGTTCCACTGCAATATTTATACCACACAGCTTACTATTGTGTATTAAAGATATTTTTGAACGATTTTCACACGTTTGTTGGGCTTACACATTGTATCCCTTTGTCTGTATAGCCAGGTAATCCTTTACCACTGTAGTGGTCTTGTAGTACTATTGTTACTTATTATTTGCATTGTGAAGCCACGGGCATAGACCCGGACCCCACTGTACTAGATGCTGTATAAACACAGAACGAAACGACATTCCTGGCTCCAAAGGCCTTACAGTTGAAGTCAGGGGTTCTCAACCTTTTCCTTTCTGAGGCCCCTGCAACATGCTACAAAAACTCCACGGCCCACCAGTGCCACAAGAACTGTTTTTCTGCATATAAAAACCAGGGCCAGCATTAGGGAGGAGCAAGCAGAGCAGTTGCCCAGGGCCCCATGCCACAGTGGGCCCCACGTAGCTTAGCTGCTCAAGCTTTAGCTTTGGCCCAGGTGGCAGGGCTCGGGGAGGTGTAGCTTTGGCTTTCTGTCCTGGGCCCCAGTGAGTCTAATGCCAGTCCTGGTTGTCGGACCCCCTGAAACCTGCTCGTGGCCCACCAGGGGGCCTCGAACCCCTGGGTGAGAACTGCTGATCTAAGTGACTTCAACTATACATGACTCAAAGGGAATCAAAAATACATAACTAATAAAATTTTAGAAAAGTACCTGAAATAGCATTTCTGTACATAGTAGTGTTGTGGTTTTTAAGTCTAGTATCTCATGACCTTCAGGGCTAGAAGCAAGTGCTGCCTATTCCATTGAAATGCTTGGACTCTCCCAGTCCTGCTGTGTGATGAAATATTGAACTTTAAATCTGTCAAGACTTAATTCAAGACTCATGCTCTGGGCTTCAGGTCTGTGCAGTTTTTCCAAGAAATCTCATATGTGGAGGAAACTATAAAACGCTTACCTGGCAGGCTGATTTTTAACAATGTGACCTGCTTGAAGCTGCAGGGAGTTTGAAACGTTAGCATGCTTCTGGCAGAGATGGGTTAATAGGCAGAGTGTAGTTAATGTGGTCAAAGGTGCCTGATAAATGCAGTTTATCACATGGTTCTGTAATTTATCTATTTAATCACATGTACAGTTTATCACTACCCCATAAGTTTTGTGTATATTTGTGTGTGTGTATTCCTGTCTTCCTACAGTGACTTGTTGACTTTTGACTTGGATAGATGATTTTGCAACACAGGGACAGGGCTCCCCTATGACACAGATACTTTTGCTATTGAACAGTAGTAGCAGAGGTGATTGAATCATTACCTCCAATGCATAAGTGAATACAAAGCCATGCCCTAACTATGTCATATACCTCTCCTTCCATCTCCCAATCCTGTACCTCCCACAACATTTTCACTTGCTGGTTCAAATACTGACCATCTGAATTGGAATTTTCTACACAGGATGAGAAAGAGTTCCCCAACAGCGGTAGGCTATCTTTGAGCCAGATATAGCACTGTGCTATAACAGCACGTTGTAGAATCCCCGAGCATTATTATTTGAGTGTTAGTAAGATCAACTTCCTTTCCCAGAGGGGGTTTCCCTCTCCTCTGCTCCCAGCAGTGTCTCTAGGAACATGGGGCAAAGTTTAAGTAAGAGTAATCATGCTTTTGATGAATATCTTCTCATTAGCCATGAGCACTGACCTTGCTCCAAGAGAGAAGAGGAAGGGTGAAGGGAAATGGTAATGGATTTAATAATAAATGCTCTGAGAGACCACATTCCTCAGAGATGTGTGTTGCTTGAGCACTTGCCAAATAAAAGTACATGCGCACATACTGAACTCTTCCTCTTTCTTTGTATGGTACAGTTTGGAAAGAATGGATGCAAGCAGTGAGCATAGGCTTCTGAATTCCAGTTGAAGCTCAAGGGGAGATCAGACTCTATCTCTATAAACTACCCTTCCCTTCCTGGTTTCCTTTTTGTGTTTGTTTCACTCTGTGTGCAGATATCTCTTTCTCAGAGAAGTAGGAGAAAGTTTTCTTTTTTCATCATTTGAGGCAACGTTCTATTACTTTTCTCCCTGCAAAGCTTCACCGGGAGCAGAAGTACACAAGCAGGAAACCTTCCTCCTTTTGCTCTCCGCGTTGCTATGTAATCTTGTTCGTTGGTGATTTGTTAACACCAGTTTAGCTTCGGTGGGGAGGGCTTCTGTCCTCGGACTTTGGAGGTCGCAAATCGGACCTGAGAGGTTGGAAGCTGAGAAACAAGCTGACAGATCTTCTCTTGTGTCAGAGGAACTTTCAGTGCAAAACGATGCTTTGAAGGTTAAATGGAAAATGTGGTGGAAGGGCAGCTGTGGGGAGTCTGCAGGGCCAGCCCTCCTGTTGTGGCACCCTTTGTAAAGCAGAACATGTGACACAGCTTCCTCCAAATCTACAGCAGCGCATCTTCAACTCTGCATAACCATGACACACTCCAGCCTGCCTTCAACTTGCTTTCAGCTGCCTTCAGCCTGTGGCAGGATAACTGTATTTAATTATCAGTGCAACTTGGTTACTTAATTATCAGCATGATCATCACAAAGGCAAATCCCAAAGGGATGTAGACTCCTTGCAGATTGAGCACACCACAGATCAATCTCTCGGTAGGTCCTTAAGACAGTGTGGCTGACTGTTCGGTCTGTGCCCATCCGTGGCATTCTTATGCACCACCTCGGCTTTTGGTGACAACCTGAGTAGCATCCTGTAGCAATATTCCTTGGTAAATATGCTTCATAGTTTGTTGGTCTTCCATCCTAAGAATATGTCCATACCAACTGTCAAGGTTCCTTCCCCACTCTGAACTCTAGGGTACAGATGTGGGGACCTGCATGAAAACCTCCTAAGCTTACTTTTACCAGCTTAGGTTCAAACTTCCCCAAGGTACAAACTATTTTACCTTTTGCCCTTGGACTTTTGCTGCCACCACCAAATGTCTAACCGGTTTTATTTTATTAGGAAAGAGCCCGTTTGGAAACGTCTTTCCCCCCAAAATCCTCACCAAAACCTTGCACATACCTTCCTGAGGAAGGTTTGATAAAAATCCTCACCAATTTGCATAGATGACCACAGACCCAAACCCTTGGATCTTAAGAACAATGAAAAAGCAATCAGTTTCTTAAAAGGAGAATTTTAATAGAAGAAAAAGTAAAAAGAATCACCTCTGTAAAATCAGGATGGTAAATACCTTACAGGGTAATTAGATTCAAAACATAGAGAATCCCTCTAGGCAAAACCTTAAGTTACAAAAAGACACAAAAACAGGAATATCCATTCCATTCAGCACAGCTTATTTTCTCAGCCATTTAAAGAAAACAGAATCAAACACATATCTAGCTAGATTACTTACTAAGTTCTAAGACTCCATTCCTGTTCTGTCCCCGGCAAAAGCATCACACAGACAGACCCAGACCCTTTGTTTCTCCCCCCTCCACCTTTGAAAGTATCTTGTCTCCTCATTGGTCATTGTAGTGAGGTGCCAGCGAGGTTATCCTAGCTTCTTAACCCTTTACAGGTGAAAGGGTTTTTCCTCTGGCCAGGAGGGATTTTAAAGGTGTTTACCCTTCCCTTTATATTTATGACACAAACGAAGAAAGATACCAAACTGAAGTAAGACTCACTGGCCTGTAATTCCCAGGATTGCTCCCTCCAACATTTGCTGCCCTCCAACCCTCTGGTATAGTAACTGATTTTAAGGAGAGATTGAATATTTTAGTTAGCAGCTCAGTCACTTTATCCTTGTGTTCCTGCAGAAGTCTTGGGTATATCCCAGCCAATCCTAATGACTTGCTGTTGTTAGTTTTTTGACAGTTCCTCATCTTTAATATGTTTAAAAAAATAGATTGGAGGTAGATATCTCCCCAACATCTTATGTGGTGGAGTTTAATGCAAAGGAATCATTTAGTTTCTCAGCAATATCCTTATCCTCCTTAATTGCTCCTGTTACTCTCTGATGGGCCAGCTGACCCACGGTCCTGTCCACAAGCTTCCTGCTTCTGATATGTTTGCAAGATGTCTCATAATTTGTGTTTGTCTTTGGCTAATTGTTCTTCATAGTCTTTCTTAGCTCTCTCCTAACTCCCAGCTTACGTTTGACTTGCCATACTTAATGCTCCATGTTATGGGTGTCACTTGGGCTGGATTTCCATTTGCTGAAGTCTCCTATTTTGATCTGGTTTGGCTCAAATTAGCCCTTGAACCTTGCCATTTGATTAGACTGGGTTTTTTCTTCCCTTCTTGCTTCCTTTGTTGTTGAGGGTTAGCCATACCTTAGGTGACTCTGTTACTCCGCCAAAGTAACCCATGTGCCACATCTGAGGATTTTCCTTTCCTTGCTTTTGAGTTAGCCTCTCTCAGACTGGCTTAATCTTTTATTTTATTTTTAAGTCCCCCTTTCTAAAGTTTAGTGTCCCCAGGCTAGTCTTTGATATCATCCCTTTGCTGAAAACATTGAACTTAATTAAATTCCGGTCACTGTTGCTTCATGATTCAGCTACAATTACTTTTTGAACCAACGGTAGCGTGTTACATAAGACTAACTGGAGAACAGCCTCTCTTCTTGATTTAGCTGTTTGAAGCAGCCATCATTAAAGCTGTCAAGAAACTATTTCTGTAAACCTTGTCCCAATGTCACATTTGACCAGTTCATATGTGTGCAGTTGAAGGCACTCACTGTTATTGCTTTATTGGATCTTTCTGCCTTTTTGATTTATTGATTTGTTTTTCTGCTTCCTTTTTAACAGGAGAAATATGATTGTTAATGATAAATAATAAAAATGATTAGAGGCCTCACATTGGTCAGACCCCATTGTGCTCCCCATTGTTTGCATATATAGTAAATAATAGTTCCTGTCCTATGGGGCTCACAGTTTAGAAGACAAGACATAAGAGAGAGATGAAACAAGCAAGTGGGTGGAGGTAGCAGTGGAGGATGGGGTAACAAAAATAAACAGAGTATCAATATTGACGATGATAATCATTATTAATAATAATAATTAATTGAAGTACCAGGAACGTTAAAACTGGGTTCCCATGGTTTAAATACAGGATCTCTTGATGGGGGGAGGGTCTCAGAGAATGTTTTTTGTGAGCTCTCCAATCTCAATGGAAGAGGCAAACGATATCTTCTCTCTAAGGTATTCATTAGTCATTGGAACTGGATAGGTCTTTACAGTTACAAACAAACGAAGGGTTTTAAACAGCCTCACTTTAAAAAAAAAAAATCCTTTCTCCTCTCACTTGCTCAGCTGTCCTTCTCGGTGTGGGTGTGCTACCATCAGAGTCAGGATGATCCAGTGATTAGGGCACTGGCTGGGGACTCAGGAGACCAGCCCCACCACAGACTTCCTGTGTGACCTTGTGCAAGTCACTTAGGGCCAGATTTTTCAAGGTATTTCAGCAACTAAAGATCCACATTTCCATAGGAATGACGCACTTTGGTGCTTTTGAAAATCTCTCTAGGCACTTGTCTGCATCTTTAGGTGCCTAAATACCTTTAGAAATCTGGTTTCTAGTGCCTCAGATCCCCATCTATGAAATAGGGATAATAGTACTAGCCTACCGCACAGGAGTGTTGTGAGGTTGAACACACTACAGATTGTGAAGTGCTCAGTTACTGCAGTCATGGAGCCATATAAGCACCATATATAGATACATTTCTCTCACTCTCCAGTCACCATAGAGTCACCCAGGTTAGACAAGACCTTAATTTTTCATGTAAAGAGAAAGTAGGGGGGAAAGAAACCCCAAAACTTTCAGGCCTTCTTCATACAGCATTCTCTTCCCTCCACCACTCACTCCCCTCCCATCCCATGCTCGGTAGATCAACCTTGACTGATGTTTTGAATGTTTGCAAGCAGCATCTGAGACACATGCATTGTGTGGCCGCTGTGAAGAGGTGAAATTTGTGACTTGGGGAAGAGGAGATTGCAAATGTTTCTTCCCCTTCATCAGGGGACAATCAGCTCGCTCTCTGTGGGGGGAGATGAGCAAGGGGGATTGCTGAGGGAGGGCTGTCAGGCCGGGCCAGCCTGAACCACAGGAGATGGGCCACAGCCAGACTCAGCTGACTGCATTCTCTCTGCACAAAGATCCCCCCAGGAAGCGTGTGGACTCCCCAATGCTGAACCGGCACGGGAAGCGGCGGCCAGAGCGGAAGTCGATGGAGGTTCTCAGTGTGACGGATGGCGGTTCCCCAGTCCCAGCTCGCAGAGCTATTGAAATGGCACAGCATGGACAGAGGTAGGTAGCCCCCATAGCCAGGAAAGATGAACCCCGTACTCCTTGCCTCCCCTACTTCCCCTCTACACCCTATACACAGGAGGAGTTTGAGAAAATGTTCTATCCACACCAGCATTCGTGGAAACATCCAGCAGCGCTCATGGTTACTGGCACCAGCGTATCAGTTCTGTCCATGGCGTGAGGGTCCTGTCCATTGAACCCTTTTACTCAGAATCCTACTGAGACCCTTGAAACTGGTGTCATGAGAATAGTATGAATCTGGAGAAACCCCACCTGACTCCTTTGGGTGCCTCTCAGAGCTGCTGTCAAACTCAGTATGGCCCTGACGCTTGTAGCTCACTGGATTTCTTAAGCATGGTGGGTATGTATCATTCCAGTTCTCTCATATGCAAGGAAACTGCTGCTGTTGTGGTATGCTGGAGAGGAGTGGGGGGAATGGTGTCCCCAGGGGAACTGCTGTGCAAGCTGCCCTTCTGGTTGTGGTATACCATGGAGATGGTTTCCACGCTCATTACAGGAGGGCCACACCAGGGAAAGGCAGAAGGAAAGCATGTGTATTTGGAACAACACAGAGATATATCAATCTGTGTCAAAGAACATCACATGTACATATACTGTCAATGCTTTAGCTTGTAATTCAGCTTTTGTGACATGGTCTTTTCCCTCAGCTGTTAAGATCTGCTCAGGAAGAGTCTCCTGTGCCCAGAAGCTCCTTTTGCTGGCTGGCAGCTGGGCGAAGAGCATGAAATAAAGATGTTCAGAGGCCCTTAGAACTGCCTGTGATTCTTGTTGGATGGCTGAGGCAGTTCTAACCCTAGAGTGAAGAAAGCTATTCCCCGAGAGCTGCTAGGATTTATTCCTGGGATCCATGGCTGGGTATCCTTAAGATTCAATGTCTGAAAGATTCCGCATCATAGGTCAGACAGGACACCAGCTTTATTCCCCCTCCCCCAACAGTGAAATAAAAGGATCTCTATAGTGATCAGGGAGCTGTTTCGGGGAAACGTGTATTTCACAGAGGCCACAGATGTCAAAGAAGGTAGAATGAAGAATAAGACTGAGCACTCTGGGAACAAACAGTTACCAAGCAGTAGTCACTAGAATCAAACATCCACCTTTTCCCCATCTCGCCTTTAATCCAGTCCTGGTACCTGGAGGTCCTGTTTGCCCATGAAGTTCTCATGTATGAGACAGCCTCTGGTGCAGTGAGCGGACTTCAGCACCCAGCTGCAGACAGTTTGTTGCCTTAGTAAGCTGCTGTACTCTGCAGTTGCTTGCGGGGAGCATTTACCTAGGTGGAACAACAAAGAGGAACCAGGAATAATGGTGAGACAGACAAATTGAGTTAGGAGCAAGTCATTCGACCAGCCTAGAGCTTCCTGGCCTGATCCTGATGTGTTCTGATAGTTGGAACACTCCCTGCCATCTCTCACCTTTGGCTTGGGAGTCCATAACAAGTTGTCAGAAAGCTAAAAAAAGGGGAAATCAAGGGCTCGTATTATCCAGCATATTCTGTTTTGCTTTGAATGTCCTCTTCTCCCCCACAATTGGAAAATGTTGCAATATGAGGTGATCAGTGGAAAGAGACACAAGAGGAATGTCTGAGATTATCTCAGAGACACTGAAGAGAGATGCGTTGGCGGCATTTCAATGAGGGATGTCTTTAGCTTAAAAAAGGCAGGACTCATGCCAGAGGTGTCAGGGTCAATCAAAAGGGATACACTGGGAGTGTGTGTGCAGCAGACAACTTCAGCTAAAGCAAAACATACAGATCTGATGAAGGACAGTGGAGGGGCACACGCTGACATTCTGCGGGATGATGCCCAGTTCAGTGGTGCATATTTTGGAAGAGGTTAAGGGGAAGGTGCTATTTTATTTCAGGCTCAGGCTTTCATTATTCTCCACATCTGTAGATGACAACGGCACAGGGTGAGTTGCTGGCAGTGTGATTATTTATAACGTGAGCCGGCTTCATTAACACATGCCACTGCACGGAGAGTGTCTGGGGATGGTGCACTGCTGATAGGGGCACCATCTGTCAGAACAGTCAGTAACAAAACGCTAGGTGCCTGCGCCAAGAATCAGGCTTTTTAAGGCTAGCTGTATAGTATTCAGCAGCAAGTGACCCCCAGACGGTGGATTTTGCAGCACTTCTTCTTAGCCCGGTGTCTTTCAGGGGGGTGGTGCTGCCCTGATAGTCTCGGTCTGGGCAGATGGATAGAAACTGCTGTATTCCAGGAGGATTGTACTGCACTCGGAAGGTGAAGAGAGACTGAGGAGACAGTCCTAGTTAGAGATGAATGACTGTGTAAACACCAGGAAATAGACACCCATTGCTTCCTTCACAAGCTACCAGAGATGCTTCTTTGGCTCAGTGGGCAAAGCACTCCCTTGTGACTTGTGTTTTAGTCCCACTGTAGCGAACATCTGTTTATTTGCAGAAAGGGTATGCATGTGATAGCCTCCAGTTGTATGTGGCTAAACAACACTCTTGGCACCCAGTCTGGGACCACAGGAGCCTCTAATCTTGATATTATGGGCTTGATATCCTGTTAGAGTAGCCACTCAAGCTTGAAATAGGGGACTCAAACCCAACAGGTTGGTAAAAGAGCTTTTGTGCTGAAAGCATTAGGAAAAAACATAGCCCTTCAGTGACTTAGTCCTGGAGAAGAACAGTGGAACAAGTGAAGTCCTACACAAGGACTGGCTTCCAGCTTACAAGCTGCTGCCCATCCCGCGCTGCTTGAAACAATGGTGTTGGCTCTCTACGTGCTCTCTGTTGTTTCTCTGACTGTATGTGACACACTAAAAGCACACAAACACCCACTGCGCCTACATCTGGTGGTTTGATTTGGCTTTATCCTGATTTTAGCCAGCCCAAATGTATTGAAGGGGAGAGTGGTACTGAGCTACATCACTGCCAATGCTTTTCTTTCCCACCAATTTCAGACTGCTTGGCTCCTCCTAGAAGCCACAGCTTTACTCCTGCCAGGAGAAACGTCAGAGGGGAGGGGATAGGTGCACGGAACACTGCAGACACCTCCTGGCACTAAGAATCTTGTGAAATGGACAGCCCCTCCTTTAGGTGGCGCCTGTTACCCCTTCAGCCGCTGGAACCTCTGCTGGGGTGCCAGAATTTTCACAGTGGCAAGGGTCAGAGTTGAGAAGATTTGATCAAACTTCCTAAAGTTGATTCCATCAACTATTCATTTTCCTTCCGTTCTTTTTCTTGTGGGTTGCTGAGGTGGATAGCACGAATGAAATATCAGCCAGTGCTGGCAGGCTGTATTGTGAAGAGCACCTATCCACACAACATGGCGCTAACACGTAACATAGACCTCCTTTAGCGAGGCTTTTAGAGTCCTGCTTCTCAGCTACTGGGATTCTGACCCCAGTTTGGGAAGCAGAATGGTTCTTCCTGAGGATGGAGAGGGGTGTGGGACTGGCAGAAACAAGCCATGAAGAGTAGAAAAATAAAAGAGGCCTTTAAGAAGATCTGCTTGCAGTTTTGAATCCGTGCCCAGTGTGTGCTTAGTGTTAATGACTTCCCGGAAAGGCTTTCAGATTCCCAGCAGGAGTAAGGAGGGCTTTGCTATTTTCACATTCAAGCATGGTCCATCTCCAGTGAGAAATGTGAGCAAGTGGACTCCAGCTGGGGTTGTCAGTGCAGTAACGGGGAGCAGGGTGTTGGGTGTGTTTGTTGGGGAGGTCACAGACCACGAGAGGCTAGGAGTTTACTCTTAGAGAATACTTCTACAGGGGTCTGATTCTGCCATGTGCTGAAGGTCTCAGCTCTCACCAAAGCCAGTGGGACTGGGAGTTGAGGAAGCTCAGCACCTTCAAGAGATGATCAGCACCATTCAGGATGGAGCCATAGTTTGGAAAGGAGCAGGAAAGGTGTTTTGGAGATTTGCTTTAAAAAGGACATGGGTCGGGAGGGCTTAGTGTCAGGGACGCTTTCAGGTGAATCTCTTTTATGAATGTCCATATTAGTAACTCTGTTTTCTCACTTTGTTCCTGCCATAGTAAAACAATGTTCAGTAAAAGCCTGGATATCTCTGAAGCCAATCCCAAATTCAACAAAGAAGAAAGGTATAAACACTGACAATCTGTTCCTCTCCTCTACCTCACTGCTGAGACCTTAAAGATGCAGCACTTATCTTCTCCATATGGGGATGCAGCTGCTCATGCCTAGAGAGAGCCAGGGAGGGTGGGCGGTGTTTTGTGGGGATTTGGGGGGATTTTGTGTGTGTCTTCTGCTGTAGAATGCTATGTATTTTTATATACAACCCTTCATATGAATCTGTCCCCAAATGCTTCACGCACGGGCTTGGATTTTAGGATTTCCCCCTAAAATTTCATATTATTGCTACCACTGAATCAGCCTCCCTGGGTGTTCACAATGGTGGGAGTGTACCAGTGTAGAAAGGGGACTGGTATTTTAAACCACCGTGTTACCTAAACCTGCTGTAAGAAAGGCAGAAAACTCTGGGCTTTAAAGGCCAGCAGCCATGTGGAGCTCTGTCGACACTACACTCCCATCATTGCCAACTCCAGTGCGGCTGAGGCAGCGGTAGCAATGGTGGGAAATTTTAGGCTCAGAAGAAAAATGCCTTCAGCCAAGGGGCAGGCTCTTTAAGGCTGTTGTGGATGCACGAGCCAGAGAGAGAAAGGGAAGGAATAGTTAGAGGGGAGATTGAATCAGGACGCTGCAGACTCAGTGGCTCAGGGAATAGTTGCAGGTAGCAGGGAAAGAATAAGCAAAAGGGGCAACTCCCAGCTGCTGCGGAGAGGGGCAAATGGGGCTGGGGCAGAGAGGCCGCCAAATTTGGGAATTTAAATAGAGACTCTTGGGCTCATTTACAAAATTAATTTTGCCTTTTGGAGGAAGAGGGTGTTGTGAAACACTGAACACCAGAGTGATGGAGCTCGTTTCTGGTGCTAACAGGAAGCTATAACGCAATGGTAATTCCACACCATATTGTAGCCCTCCTACGCTACATGATAAAGACAGTGCTTAAAAACCCTTGACCTTTCCCCCAGTCCTTCGCTCTTACACCCTGAGCCAGTGTGGTTATGTCTTTATGGGATTTCCTGTCCATTGGGCCATGAGCACGTCTCATGGGGAAAGTGGGTGGCAGAGGGAACACCCTGTCAATTAACAGTCTGTAATAATAACAACAATACTGAATATTTATATTGTGCCGTTAACGCACAAATCCATCCAGTTAAGGGGCCAGCAACAAAAGCCACAGCCAGAAGGACGGAGGCTGCTCCATGGCACTGAAGTGGGAGGAAAGTTGAAGGTTTCTCAAGGTTCCACAAAAAATCTGGAGGAACCCTGCTTCCCTTTATACAGAAACATTTCCAGTTTAATATAATTATTGCCCTTTAAATATAAACCTTTTGAGACTTCCCATGTGTGAGGGTGACAGTCTTCCTATCAGCCTTTCACAGACTGACACAATCAGTTGAACACACTGTTTAAGGGCCCTGCGGCTGCCACAGAAAAGATGTAGGTAGAGCACTGAGTTTGCCAGCAGATGGAGGGACAGATCCTGAGACAGCATGCCAGGTACTCACTTGTATGAGACCCAGCAAGAAATGAGCAGGGCACCCAAGCTGTCAGGATCTCATGAAAGCTCGTGTCCAGGAAGAGGTAATGGATTGCCAATGGAGCACGCAAACTTGGTCCCTGAGACTTGCAGCCCTGTTATCGTAGCTACAGACCTCTCATATCCCCCACTGTAATCCCTCACTGAACCAGAAAGCAAGATCTGATGAATTCCTGGAAGCTTGGGCATTTCTTGTTACCCCTATCTAAATTATTCCAAGACTGCTCAGAAAAACAGCCCTTCCACAGCATTTAGGATTTGGTCATAGATACAGAGAGGCCTTTTCATCTAGTCTGTGACGCGAGCTCCATTGGTTTCCCTTTGCACTTCTTCTGCAGCTGTGCAAAGGGTGGAGAAGATGGCACTTCAGGAACAGCTGGGAGAATCCCCTAAAGACACAACTTCACTTCTAGCTACATCACAGAGGAGATGTTTTCAGAGGGCAGGCGGGCTGGGCTGGGCTTCTGCAGGAGAACCTCCTTGGGGCCTCTTGATTGAAAGGAGAGCGATGAGGAAAGAGATGGTTTGGCACATTCCCTGCCACCTTCCTCCACATTTTTATCTTTCTGGGTTTTAAGCTGAAAGGGTCTCCAAGATGAGAAAAGAAGTGGGAGGCAAAGGGGAAATAGTCTTCAGATCTACTAATGGAGCAAGGAGAGGAAGGAAGGGCAGCAAAGAGAACCCCAGCAAAATGACCCCTCTGGGGCTAACTAATCATGGTGGCCACTAAATCGTTGGCCAACATTTCATTCTCCGGTTTTTTTATTTCTCTTTTTTAAAAGGAATACTGCATCTTTAAGGATCTTCCCCCTCTAGATGCACATGATTGTCTTAGTAGCTGAGGTCACTGTCCCTCTCTTCTCCTCTCTCTTTTCTCTCTTTTAGCTCCCTCTCGCTCCTTTCAATGCTTTCCTTCTTCTGTATCTGGGTTGCTGCAGCTCCGTAGTTCACTTGCTTCAATATTGCAGGGAATGCACATGTCTGCGCTGCTGGGTCTATTGTGTCCTGGGTTTGTTGTTTTTTTTAACCTCATTTCCCATCTCCCTTTCCCCTAGTTTCAGTTTGCTTTCTGTTCTTTGTTAAAATCCTCAGTGCCTTTCCCTTTGGGGAAAATAACTCACAATGAAAGAAAAGTGGATAAATCTATATACACACATTATGTATGTATTTCAGTACAGTGTGTGTGAGTATGGGTGTATTTTATAAATATATACACACACAGTAGGAGCCAAATCCTGCTCTCAGTTATATCCGTTTAAATGAATTTTCACTGATATAACTGAGAACAGGGTTTGGCCCTATGCATGTGCATTAGGATCTTATCCAAATTATAACTCCAAACCAAGTATCAATGGAGTGTCACTCATGCATATGAAAAAACACTCACTATAATGCTTCTTTCCACCTCTCTGTCAATGTACAATATAGTGACTTTTTTTTTAAATTGTATGTGAGTCTTAAGTTTTCTTAAGATCACCCCCATGTTGCCTGGCACAGCGTTCGGAACATTCACATAACAAGAAACACATCTGGCTGTGTTTATAAGTAAACTGTGAAATCAACTTGGCAAATGCTGAATTTGGCATTTATGGTGGGGATCATCTTGTGGAGGATTGACCTGCCATTTGTAACTCTGGCAGCTAGGGAACCTATTACAGAAACTGAAGAGAAGGAGAGAAAATGATGTTTCTATCCTACTTGGAGTTTGGTTTAATATCAAACCAGAGCTTTTCACATTAATCAAACATCAGATTGGAGAAATAATAAGTATTTGTAGTCTCCCAATCTAGCTCACAACCCAATCAGGGCATAGAGAGCTTAATAAAAATAATCCTACCTCTTCCTTGCGTGCTTTGATCAGCAGTGAAAAATTAAGTGTTGAATATTTGAATTGCTACCATCAAGCTTAAAAGTCAACATACCATGGGGATAAATGGACAGTTCACACCTCTTTTAGGGTTGGTTTACACTCTATTCAGATTGGAAGGCTATTTCTGCAATTTCTAAGGCCTGGAGACTTGATTTATTTTAAATGAAAAATTAGATTCTGGAGCACAGGATTGCGTCCCCAGGGATAAGTACTGGCATGACCCAGCTAATCTGAATCCCTGATTTTAACACAGTAAATGCTCCCTCATGACTATTAAGCTAGTATCAAAGCAGGTTTCAACTTTGCCTACAGTCTCACTCACTGGGCTCCCAGACTGGCTCAGAAATGTGGACTTTAATGACCAATACCTTTCCCAGTTTATGCGTAGGAAAAGGTGTTTCTTGCCAGGCCAGTTTGAGGGGCAGAGGGACACTGTGCTGAGCAAAATGGGTGCAAAGAGATCAGTCTCCTTTTTAACACTCTGATATAACTGTTCTTCATCTAAGAGATGTTATGGAAACAAAACAAGGAATGCAACCCCCCAGCTCTGCTGACTGTTCAGTTGGGTGGTGTTGGTTTCTCTTAACACCTTAGTATATTCTCTCCCAATTCCCAGTTCCCAAATGCAAAAGTTTGACATTTCTGCATTGTTTGTGTGCAGTATGGAAATCACTGTCTAGTAAATGAAACTGTCCCCTAGCATTCCTGGTCTCCTGAGCGGGAGGCACCTGTGGCAATAATTCTGAGCATTCAGTTCTCTGAACAGTATTTCACTTTGCTTTTCGTACTCTTCTCTCCACCTGCCTCCACGTCGTCCCCCACCCCTCTTTCTCTCTCTCTCTCTCTCCCCTCTTTATTTCCCCCTTCCAAGGATGGCGAGTGCAGATGCATTGGGGTAAGCTCCAGTTTTGGATTATACCTGTTGTTGGACTTGTTATATCTTCTAGAGAGATTTTGTAACTTGCAGAGTTAGCAAATATAGATGCATAGACTTGATCAAATGAAACTTTTTAACAATGAGAGAGATGTGGGAAGAAGCATTTTTGTGTGTGTCGGGGGTGTGTGTGTGTGTGTGTGTTGGAGTCACACACTGTACGTCTCTTCTTCTTTTGTTTGTTTCTTTTTAATGTGTCAGGGGACACAAAACTAATCTCTGACACTATGCAGATACTAAGACACTTGAGAATGAAAACCCCTGCCCCACCTATTGCACTTTTCACGTCTGTATGGCACACCTGATTGGTTATTGATATTTGAATAACAATGTCCTTCCCCACCCCCCACCACCACCACCCAAGATGAAGCTAAAACCCACACATGGTCTAAAGTAATTCCTGGGTATTTTCCCTCCTCTTAGCACAAGTCCTTTTTCCATGAGAAAATAATCAGCTCTGACACCTTCAAAGCACTTTATTTTCTGATACAAGTAGGAATATGGTCACACTTTAGATGAAGTTTCATTTATTAATAATTATTAAATTGATAATAAAGTATTAATATGTTTTAATAAATTGTAATAGATTGTCCAGCAAGTCAGTAGATGCTTAGAACCAGAGGTTATAACCATCTATAGCACCTTCTAATGTTATAGCTATAACCACCTATAACATGTACTATTCGGGTCAGTAACATACATATAACATCTCTTAGTGATTTATTAACCCTTTATAAAACAATTATAAATGGAACCTTAATATAAAGTGTAACTGGGATATTCTAATTAAACAAGATTATGCTGTTTAATATCACTACCTAGGGTGTGCAGAAAGGTGCAAGTCCCCTCTCCCCCTCCTCTTTTCCCCATGTGTGTCTGCATCCAAGGGCCTGATCCTGCAGACATCTACTACAAGGTGTAGGACTTACTACCATGATTAGACCCATTGACTTCACTGTAGCAATTCAGGGTAGCAAACGTGCCCTCTAGTAAAAATTAAGATTGGGGCATAAGACAATACAGCACCACACTCTGAGGTGCCATCCTGATATTACATAATTGGTTGTATCCCTGCTATTTATTACTCTTGTGATCAACTTTGCACAGGGGAAAAAATGGTTGATGCTCAAAATTAAAAGCTAAAGAGAGATTAGGTAATAGAGCATGACTTGGCATGTTTACAGACCAACCAGTCTACTGTCTCTTGCGTATTAGATCATGTAGCATTCTGGAGGATTTCAGACCTTTTGTTGTGGTTTAGAAATCTTGATTTTTCATTTAAACAATGAAGTGAAAAACAAGAAGGAGCTTAGTTTTTGTCTAATTTGACCTAATTTGTACTGTAAAAGAAGTGAGCAAGTGACTGGCTGGGCACGTTTGGCTGAGATTTTCAAAGCCACCTACAGAGTTTGGACAAATCCAAAATCTCAGCCACTGTTTGCACCACCCAGGGATGCAAGTCTGATGCATTTACCATACGGTGCATGCATGCTGCAGGCTCCCATTCTTGGAAGCTCCTGGCTGTGAACAGCTAAAATGCTGCTTGCAGGACTGTATCCTGCACTCACTAAACTCCATGGACCGAGCCCATTTTGAAGGCCACAATACAAAGACCTGGGACCAAACTTACCCCATCCCGTAAAACTTTATTCAAAACGATCATTCTCCCAATAAGAATTCACCACTGCTATGAGGCACTGAATTTTACCTTTGATCGTATTTTAAAAAATCTATGAGTTTTATTCAAAGAGAAACTGAGTGTAAAGTCTGATGTAGCTTCTACACTGGATTCTGTTTTTAATCAGAAGTAAAACAATTCTTTGGTGGTGCTTTTCAGGAACCGCCAACAGAAAAGAGACAAAACCAGTCTCTTGTCTTTTCTTAACTATAAAGGTTTTGAACAGTTTGTACAAATGAACCCCAGTGTACTAAGAGTTAATGGGGTGCTTAGGTTGCTCATTGAGAGAATCAATAGACCTGTGGTTATCTGAGAAGGTTACTTAGATCCAAGGGTAAATGTCATCATACAGATTTTATTCACTACTTGATTGGATGGTGCTAAAGAAGGTGGCTTCACCAGAGGATGAGTATGAGAAATGGCAACAATCACATTTTAAAAAACTTCCTAAAATAGCTTGTTTCTGAAAAATATGTGGCCTATACAGAAAGGTGTGGTACGACGGCTAGTGTTTTCAAAAGCACTTTGGAGGAGAAAGCCCTTTGCAAATTAAAGGGACTTGTGCCCCTAAATGATTTAGGTGCTTTTGACAATCCCACCCTAAAGGCTCTTTTCGGCACCTATTTAGGGTGGTGCTAAATCACACCAGACTCTTCTGTGTGATAAGTAAATAGATAAAGGGCAGGTCTACACTACCGCTTAAGTCCGTATAACTTACGTCACTCAGGGGTGTGAAAAAGGCATCGGTGCAGCTGGGCCAATGTAACGGTTCTAGTGTAGTCTAGCCCAGAGAGTGGTGCACAGATTACTGGCACGTGCACTATGTAAAACACTTTGAGATCTACCTGAATGTGGGAATGTAATAGAAATGTAAGGTGTTATTAATGATAAGGAATGGAGTTATTTGAGTAATTATACAAATGATACTTAGCGTCCAATGATTCTTAATGGCTCTAGAGACTTTAAGATGGTTACCCACTGACGGATATTTTCAGCTAAATACACTTAGTTCATAATCATAGAGAAAAGATACTTTTCCTGCTGTGGTTTGCCATGTTCCTCCTTTTTCCCCACACAGTAAGATCGTTGGGAGTCTTCAGTGCTCATATGCTGCCTGCGGGGACTTCCACTTTCACTATACAGTGATATATAGATGCAGATATTTAAATTCTTTCTATGCTTTCATCTTAACATTGCAGCATTGGGCCAGTTTTGATGACTGATGTTTGGCTCCTGCTCTGATTCTGTGCACCTGGCTGACAGATGCAGAACAGTGCCAAGTCATCCTGCAGTATTTTTTACAAGCTGGTTTAATGGATTTCTCAAAGAAGGTGGTCTTCTCAGGAGGGAAAAAATCTCTCATTCTTGCTTGATAGCCCTTTTTTTTTTTTTTTTTTTTTTGGCTGAGAGCTGAAGAGCCTGCCACAAGTGAGTTTCCATAATCACTTGGGAATGGTATCCCATTGGTAAAACTTAAATGCTGGAATTCATTAGAAAGAGGAAGAAGCAGGTGAGAATTCTGGAAACTGTCCTTCCCTTTCATGTGAAGGGGAAAGATTTGAAAATGGTCAGCTCTCTTTTTTAAAGAGCATTAAAAATTGATCCATGCGCTCCTTAGATTCTGCCCTGTGTTCCCAAACACAATTTCCAGTTTGAAAAAGCCAAGGTACATTTAAGGATCTACTTTACCTCTTCCCTTGTTTCTTTATAAACCACCAGTAGCCACTCTGTGGAAATAAGGCTAATTAAATTAGTAGTAGTGTGGATACTGAATGCATTTCCCATGAGATTTTATTCCAACCATCTCTTCTGACCTCTGCATCAGGCACCTAAAACTGGGGGAAGCTCAGTATATTACAGCTTCTTGCAAACTACTGTTTGTGATAAGGAACAGGGGCTGGGAGATGGGGCCTGCTGTGTTGCTCCCCATATATGTGTGACCACTTGCTTTTTTAATGTGGGGAGAGGTTGGAATAAGAGCAGAGAAATCAGCTTTTTTGGAAACAGACCTGATTGGGAACAGGTGGAGAGGAGAAGGTTTTAAGCAACTATCCTGAAATTCAGGTGAATGTTAAAGATCAACTTCCAACCACGACTGAGTGTTGAGGGGAACAAAAGGCCAGGTACTTTGGTGCCTAAAGATGCAGATAGGTGCCTAGTGTGATTTTCAAAAGACCTAGGCACCTAACTCCCACCTGCAGAGAAAGGTAACATAAAAATAGTCCAGCAAAAGTGGAGCTCCTGTACAAAGCAGGCCATACTCTGCTCTCATTTGCAATGGTGTAAGCCCAAAATAACACCAGTGTCTGCAATGGAGTTAATGTGGGTTTACACTGGTAGAAGAGAATGCAAAGGTTGGGCCAGTTTGATTTGTATAGATGGCAGTGATGGACGGGCTGCACTGAGATGCAAGGAATGAATTCCATGGAGAGTTTCTGCACTGGACACAAATTGTCAGAATGGAGCTTGTTGTATGTTAATTTAAACCTTCCTCCACTGCCATCAATTTTTTTTTGTAATGTTATAATTTCTTTTTAAGAACGGATGGATGTGAAAATGTTTTGAATCTAAATTTATAATTTTATTCTTATATAATAGAGAGCGATACAATTGATAGACGGGGCAGGGACTCTAATTTAGCTTTGTGTTCTCTGGAAGGCTGTTTATACTTACAGGACTAATATATATAATGTATGTGCACATACCTAATAGGGCTGGCAAATGATTTTTAAAAATCTCAATTAATCTCAAGATTAAAAATAATTTGCAATTAATTGCAGTTTTAATTGCACCGTTAAATAAAAATAGAATACCAATTGAAATTGATTATAAATATTTTTGGATTTTTTTTCTACATTTTCAAATATATTGATTGCAATTACAACACAGAATACAAAGTGTACAGTGCTGTCAAGGTTCCTCCCCCACTCTGAACTCTAGGGTACAGATGTGGGGACCTGCATGAAAAACCTCCTAAGCTTATCTTTACCAGCTTAGGTCAAAACTTCCCCAAGGTACAAAATATTCCACCCGTCGTCCTTGGATTGGCCGCTACCACCACCAAACTAATACTGGTTACTGGGGAAGAGCTGTTTGGACACGTCTTTCCCCCCAAAATACTTCCCAAAACCTTGCACCCCACTTCCTGGACAAGGTTTGGTAAAAAGCCTCACCAATTTGCGTAGGTGACTACAGTACAGTGCTCACTTTATATGATTATTTTTATTACAAATGTTTGCACTGTAAAAATGATAAACAAAAGAAATAGTATTTTTCAGTTCACCTTTAGAGTCTACAAGTCCAAGCATGAAGGGGCATATGAATATTTAGCTTTAATGGCACATAAATACCGGCTACAACCATGCCATGTGAACACCTATTCTCATTTTCAGGTGACATAAATAAGAAACGGGCAGCATTATCTTCCGTAAAGGTAAACAAACTTGTTTGTCTTAGTGATTGGCTGAACAAGAAGCAGGATTGAGTGGACTTGTAGCCTCTAAAGTTTTACATTGTTTTGTTTCTGAGTGCAGTAATGTTAAAAAAAATCTATATTTATAAATTTCACTTTTCCAACAAAGAGATTACACTACAGTACTTGTATGTGGTGAATAGAAAAATACGGTTTCTTTTGTTTATCATTTTACTGTGCAAATATTTGTAATCAAAAATAATCATATAAAGTGAGCACTGTACACTTTGTATTCTGCATTGTAAGTGAAATCAATATATTTGAAAATGTAGAAAAAAATCCAAAAATATTTATAATAAATTTAAATTGGTATTCTGTTATTGTTTAGCAGTGCGATTAAAACTGCTATTAATCGTGACTATTTTTGTTAATCTAGTTAATTGATTTTGCATTAATCATGTGCATTAACTGCAATTAATTGCTAGCCCTAATACCTATATATGCTTGTATCACACACACACACACATACATGCGTGCACACACATATATGGTACTCACAGTTGATGGCTCCAACTGTGAACAGAGATTTTTATATGTTAGTTGTTGGTTGAGTTGGTTCTCCAGTATAGTTTCCTCCTTCAGAAATTGTTCTTCTTCAAGACCACCTATCCTTCCAGTTGAGGAGAGTTGAAAACAGCTGTCTTTAGAGCTGGTCAACAATCTGGGTCAGTTGAACGTGGGAGCCACATGAAATGCTTTCTGCTATGAGGGACAGTTTTTGTCACTGCTTCTGTATTAACATTCTCTGCTGTTGAGAAGTTCCATTGCTGAGCTGTTCATGTGTTTGGTCTGCATGGCCTTCCAGGTCAGAGCCACTGGTTTTGACCCAGTGCATATGTGTATTTTGATTGTTGTTATCTGCAGACAATTTTTGCAGAGGCCTTTGCTGGTGAGTGTAAGGGGATGTGATTCTGTATGGGTCACCTTGCTGGCAGGTGGAAGAGCAGGTTGTCCCATAGGATGGACTTCACCTGAATACATTAGGGCTGTTGATCCCAAAATTGGGAATCCCATCAGCAAGTAGGAGGGCTGGTGATCCCATAAGGGAGATCTCACTGGTGGGCAGAACAGCAAGCGATCCCATAGGAGAGCTCACTGGTGGTTAAAAAGGTCTGTTATCCCATATGGGAACCCCATAAATGCTAGATTGAAGTGACACTGATCCTGTATAGACTTTATCAATGGCCAGAAAGGTCATTGCTTCCACAGGGTGACCTAATTGGTAGGCAAAGGCCGGGTGATCCCATAAGAGGAGCCGTTCTAGTGAACAGAAGAGTTGATGTTTCCATAGAGAGGAGCTCTCCAGTGGGCAAAAGGTCCCCTAGGGGAAGTTCCTGAGAGGGCAGAAGAGACCCATGATTTCAGATGCAAATCTCACTGGAGAGGTAAGGGGATGGCATCGTGGTGAAGTTAGAAATGGTGGCTCAACATCAAATAACCAGTCACCATAGTCCTGAGCTTTGGTTTCACTCGGACAGGCCTCTGATTTAAGGAAATAGTGTGTCCGAGGCACTGCAGATTTGACCTTTTTTGGTGCCTGGTAGAATTTTCTGCTCTTGAGAGTTATCCAGACAGTGGTTTTCCATATCTCTGGGGTCTTTACCTCGGGCACTGCAAGTGGAACTATGCAGAGAGTAATTCTCACCACCAGTACTGGGCTTAGGATAACCGCTTTTGCCATGATCTGTTTAGTGTACACCGGCAGGAAGCAGTATCTGGCCATGCACAAATACTCATGACCCTGAAGTGGGTGGCATTGCACAGCTCCACTAACACGGGTCACGAGATCCTCTCTGTGTGAACATAATTTCTTAGAGGATGGGAGAGTTGAAAGGTGTGTCATGTAGTGAGAGGGTAAGGAAGAGCCATGTGCTTTTCCTGTGGAAAGCCTCCCTCCTGCTCCTCACCTCATGCCTCTGCATGCGGTGGCTGGTGTTCAATGGATGTTCCTTGCCCAGGGTTTCTGAGGGCCATCTCTCCCTGTTGTGTTCACTCAGGTCTCGGTCGATCAGCGGAGCTTCATCTGGTCTCTCCACCAGCCCCCTCAGCAGTCCAAGGGTAAGTGGCATTACTTCAGGATCTATGGGTACCATTCCCTCAGACAATCTCAGTGCTTTTTGGCTTCTATGCCTGTAGAGCTGTGGTTATTTGTAGGGTGTTTTATTTTTCCTTGGTTGGTTGTAAATTTGCTTGAAATGGAGAGATATTGATTATAAATTCATGTGCAGCATCTCTTACCCTACACACGTTTCCTGTGCTACCCGAGGTGGTGCAGGAGTCTCTCTATGGCCCTGTCCATCCTCAGCCTCGTAACCACATTTAGGACCAAACATGGCTGGGACATGTAACACCCCGTTGGGTTGTCTATAGCACGCCTTCAGTTAATATGGATGCTTGTAACAAAGTCACAGTGAAGCACCATACCATGTCACTTTAGTTCTGCTTAGTACAGAGCCATGCTTGACTGACATGGGTCTAGCTAGAATGGGGATGTTACTGAATATGGTAGTAAGCACCCTGGTTTGGTGCTCTAGTGAGGAGTGGGCTTCGGGTGGGGAGAAATTATATGGATTTGAGGGCTGAAGAGAAATAAGAACTTAGCACATCACAAGACTGGGGTCTCTGAGGAATCACAGACTACTCACTTCTGTCTCCTGTCAATCAGCCAAACCCTGAGGTCTTTACTAAGTATTTAGCCAGTCCCTACTGAGGCAAAGGTCCCTTTCATTTCAGTGGCAGCTCACCTACCTAAGGATTGAGTACAACATCAGGGAATCATTCCCCAGGATCGGTGCACAGACTATCCCCTCCTCACGTGGGTCTTCCCTTCTTGTATCTGGGGTAGGGAGGAGAGCAGTGGAAGACAGCTCCCTCTATGACACCATCACCACCAGCCTGGGAGCCAGCTCGGGTCTGGAGATCTATGCATGCATAGTGGAAAAGGGATGTGGGATGGCTTGGGGGGACTCACATCCTACCACAGCCCCCTGCAATATACAATAAACTTTCCACAAAGCTATTACAGTCGGAGTGCACAGAGGCCTCACTGTGGTGGGCATCCTCTCTTGGAGTGGGGGTGAGGATTCCGGGCGTGGCATCTGGCAAAGAGCTTTGTCAATGTATCCCCATGCCCCGAGCTGCAGCAGAATGCTAGTGGCTCACTGAAAAGCTCATGGGGCTATGTCGATGTCTGGCCCAGAATGTTTCAGGGAACCTCACAGCCCTTGCTAGGCCCCACTCCCAGCAGTTGTTTCCATGAGACAGTGAGTGTACTCCCATCCTGTGTAAGCACTTAAAGATGTGTAGATAACTCCAACACCTCAAGCATTTCAGATTGCTATTTCGCTTAAACAGTCAGATGTAATTCATATTCTTAAAGGGACATGGTCACGTACAGCTTTCTAGCTTTGCAGACTTTCCAGTCTCACCATTGTTTCAACTATTTTCTTAAGAGCATCCAATTTCCAAAACCTTGTCCCATCAATTTTTCTCCTGTTTTGTAACTGGCAGACATTTGATTTTGTTCCCCCATGTCTTTAATACACCAGGAACCAACAAGGCTCCATTTCATGAGGTTCCTATTCTGTGCACTGGCCTCTCTGATGTCAGCAGGACTGGCCAGAATTCTGAGAATAATATTAACTGCTGCTCCAGAATAAGTGGGAAAACTCACAAAAATAGCATCCAGTCCTGCAAACCCTAGTCATGCGAGTAATTCTTTCTCATGAGCAATTGCATTGATGTCAGTGGGACTACTTGGGTGAGTAAGAACTCCTCACATGAGTAAGGGTAGCAGATCTGGTCCACAGTGACTATTCTTTACAATTATTACTTAGGAGCAATTGATTAAATGCTTTTAAAAATCTATTTAGCAGCCAGGTGGCATTCTCAGAAGACCATAACCATTTTAAGGTGGTCAGATTTTGGTCTTAAAGGGACACTGTTGGGTTAAAAATCATATAGTTTAAAAAAAGTGTCCTTACTTATGGTTCTAGTAGCACCTTAGGTTATTGAAAGGATAAGTATTTTCAAAATCAAATGTTTTTCACTATTTACACTGCTTGGGCTCAGTACTGCACCATGCTGAATTCAAGGACAGTTAAAAATGCTTGAAGCTCCCAAGATTAGGACCATGGTTTACTTTGTTGCACCTCTCTAACCTGTAGCAGTGAGAAGACACCAGTCAATTTAATGGAGCAAATTAGGCTCTTGGTTAAACTGGTGTAAATCTATTGAAGTTAATGGTATTACTCCAGGTTTTTAGTGGTTTAACAGAGTGCAGAATGGCTTTATTTCTTGTAAGCTTGATTCTCGTGCTGTCATACATTGATTACGTGAGCTGTACAAATTGCAGGGGAATGCTTATAATTATTACTTTTAAACCTGTTTTTGTTGGAATTAATTATAAATGGAGAATGATCTCTTCCTGATAGTGACCAGCATGAATTAGCCACATTCCTCATCTCTTTGACCTTCCATTCCTAATGGTGATTTGGAATTCACCAAAAGAGACAGGTTGTCTTAATTTTAAAGTGTTTTACAAAACCTAATATTAATAGAAATATTTTAATGTATTGGTTTTCCTTTAATTTTCAGAGTCTGATCCAATGTCCATTGAAGTCCATGGGAAACTTCCCCTTGAATTTAGAGGGCTTTGAATCAGACCCTCAGTGCAAACAGTTTTATTTGTTTGGCTTTAAACATTCCACTGCATTTTTAAACATTGCAGCCTGGTGCTAGTACTTGAGAACCAGTCTGGTTTCCTTTCTGTGATTTGGGGATGCAATTGCTTTTGCATCATATGTATGCACAATGAGGCTGGATTAGAGCCTTTAGAGGCTACAACAGTATAAATAATGAATATAATAAAATATATTTGTTATGGCCACAAATGAGCAAGCTGAGTGCAGGACCAAGAATAAACAAAGAGTATAAATGGTGAATTTTTACAATTATTTCAGTGCTGGTAATGTAGGATGTTATTACTAGGGCTGTTGATTAATCACAGTTAACTCATGTGATTAACTCAAAAAAATTAATCGCAATTTAAAAAATTAATTGCAATTAATCACAGTTTTGATTGCACTGTTAAACAATAGAATACCAGTTGGTTGGTTTGGATGTTTTTCTACATTTTCAAATATATTGATTTCAATTACAACACAAAATACAAAGTGCACAGTGCTCATTTTATATTATTATTTTTATTACAAATATTTGCACTATAAAAATGATAAAAGAAGTAGTATTTTTCATGTACTTCTCATACAAGTACTGTAGTGCAATCTTTTCATCATGAACGTGCAACTTAGAAATGTAGATTTTTTTTTGTTACATGACTTCACTCAAAAACAAAACAATGTAAAATTTTAGAGCCTGCAAGTTCACTCAGTCCTACTTCTTGTTCAGCCAATCATTAAGAGAAACAAGTTTGTTTACATTTACAGGAGATAATGCTGCCTGCTTCTTATTTACAAAGTGAGAACAGGTGTTCACATGGCATTTTTGTAGCCAGCATTGCAAAGTATTTATGTGCCAGATATGCTAAACATTTGTATGCCCCTTCACGCTTCGGCCACCATTCCAGAGGACATGCTTCTATGCTGATGATGCTAGTTAAAAAAAGAATCCGTTAATTAAATTTGTGACTGAACTCCTTAGGGGAGAATTGTATGTCTCCTCCTCTGTTTTACCGGCATTCTGCCATATATTTCATGTTACAGCAGTCTCGGATGATGACCCAGCACATGTTGTTCATTTTAAGAACACTTTCACTGCAGATTTGACAAAATGCAAAGAAGGTACCAATGTGAGATTTCTAAAGATAGCTACAGCACTCGACCCAAGGTTTAAGAATCCGAAACACCTCCCAAAATCTGAGAGGGACAAGGTGTGGAGCATGCTTTCAGAAGTCTTAAAAGAGCAACACCCTGATGCAGATATTATAGAAACCGAACCACCAAAAAAGAAAATCAACCTTCAGCTGATGGCATCTGACTCAGATGATGAAAATGAACATGCATCAGTCCATGCTGCTTTCGATCGTTATTGAGCAGGACTCGTCATCAGCATGTATGCATATCTTCTGGAAAAGCGGTGGAAGCATGAAGGGACATATGAATCTTTCGCACATCCGACACGTAAATATCTTGCAACACCAACTAGAACAGTGCCATGCAAATGCCTGTTCTCACTTTCAGGTAACATTGTAAACAAGAAGCAGGCAGCATTATCTCCTGCAAATGTAAACAAACTTGTTTGTCTTAGCGATCAGCTGAACAGGAAGTAGGACTGAGTGGACTTGTAGGCTCTAAAGTTTTACATTGTTTTATTTTTGAATGCAGTTATTTTTTGTACATAATTCTACATTTGTAAGTTCAACTTTCATGATAAAGAGATTGCACTGCAGTACTTGTATGAGATTAATTGAAAAATACTATTTCTTTTGTTTTTTACAGTACAAATATTTGTAATAAAAATAAATATAAAGTGAGCACTGTACAATTACTGTGTTGTAATTGAAATCAATATAGTTTAAAATGTACAAAACAGCCACAAAGATTTAAATAAATGGTAGTCGATTATTGTTTAACAGCGTGATTAATCGCGATTAATTTTTTAATCGTGCAATTAATCGCGATTAATATTTTTAATCGCTTGACAGCCCTAGTTATTACCAATATGTAAGGTAATTCATTTTGTTTTTAAAATGTGTTTTTTATCCTGCCAATATCCCTTTAAAAGGATATTACTCCCTGAGTGTGTGTATTATCCTGTTAACTGAACTCATCTGAACTACCTTTCCCAGACAGCCCCTGTAACTAACGTGTGAAGGTTTTTTTCTTTTAACAACAACAAAAAAAGTTCTATCACCTTGTTTTTCTCTCTCAGTGGTGCATTATGAGTAGTTGTTTTTTTTCCTTAAACTACATAATCACTTCCATCATCCACAGAATGTGATACTGGGACTTTGTAGCAAATACTGAGCAGTGAATTTCTGAACAGCAGAATCAGGGTGTCATCAGACTGTCTTTTCAATGCTAATTGGGAAATCTCCTTCTTTCCCTGTCATGTAGCCCTGCTGGGACCCTCAGGGAGTCTCTGTGTAGCTATCTGTTTGCAAACCCCAAACTGACCCGGGTTCAGGGTTACCCCTGGTGTTTTGTGTTCAGGAATGTCCCAGCTAATGCTGAGTGGGTGATGTCACTCTGGAAGGCCAGGGGAGGAAGGTGGATGAAATGGTACTGCTCTCCCTCTTCTCTTTCTTTCCCTTATGAGTGACTGGAGCCTATGTGTGAGTTTTGTAGAGTTAGGGGAGGAGGGGGCGCTCTGAATGGTGTGTGCAGTAACCTGTGTGCCTCTCCCACCACCCCACGTGCACCACACACTTATTTTGAATTGCATCTCTCTGCTGTGTTTGATCAGGGGCACTTTGAGCTGAAAAAAACCAAGCGTCAGTTTCTGTGTGGCTTGAATGGCTCTCACTACCCCTTCTTCACCTCCCTTCAGCATTGTGCTTTTTTCATCGTGGGGCAAGCCGAACAATGCCGGGGATGTGGCATCTTTCTCCTTTTTTCCCCCTCAGTTATTTTGGATTTTTTTGCCCCTTCTTCCTTTGTGTTCCTTTTCTCCCTGTGGTTTTCCCTCTGCTGACACGTGGTTGGTTAATATGATAAAGCCTGTTATGACACTGTTGTTCTTGCTGCTGGCACCGCGGCTGCTGCTGCTGTTGATGATGCTGCGTTCCCAGCTAACTGCATGTCTTTTTGTTTTTTGTTTGTTTGTTTTTTGTTCTTGTTTCTTTGCAAACCCTCCCACCTGCCCTCCCCTTCACCTCCATCGCTCGTGTCTCCTTGTGACACATGATGCATCTCTGTGACTCGAATGGGTTTATTCTGACTTTCCTTTCTCTGCTCGCCTGCTGTGTGCGTGTCTCACTGTTCTCGATGTGCATGGACACTCTGTGTCTGTCCTGTAGCCTATCAGAAAGTTTTTCATCCCCCCTCAGACTCCTGACCTCCCTTTCTCCCCCCGACCCCAAGTCTCCTTGGACCCTGATGCTTGTAGGAACGCCTCCAGGCCTGGACATGTTCTCCAACCAAAGCCAACACTTCAGTCCAACCCAAAGACGCAGACTTTGCCATCCAAGAACAAATTGGCCGAAAAACCGCTCCAGTCTACCAAATCCAACCCGCTCCCTGCCAGCAATGCCAACGCCCCCTCTTCCCAGAAACCCCCTGTGCAGAATGCTGAGGGCCGCCCACCCACTGCTGGCTTTAGCCCCCAGCTGGCCATTCCTACAGTGCAGGCCAACCCTATGTCTCCTGTTAGATTACTCCCTTCTAGTACTGACCCAAGCACCAAATCTATCCCCATCATACAGGTCACCCCTCACCCCTCTCCAAGGGGAAGTCCCCTCCCTACCCCCAAGGGGACACCCGTCCATACGCCAAAGGAGAGCCCAGCAGGCACACCCAACCCAACACCACCATCCAGCCCCAGCATTGGAGGAATGCCATGGAGGACACGGCTTAACTCAATCAAGAACAGCTTCCTGGGGTCTCCTCGGTTCCATCGCCGGAAATTGCAAGGTGAGTCCGTTCTCCAGATGAATGTGGATGTCCAAATTGGGGCAAGTATTCAGCAAGGAACTGGCAGCTCAGACTGACTCAGCAAATCTCATTTGTGGAGAAGTGACTATCAGTGTTGGTGCGAGTGAGGGAGTTAATGCAAGGCCAAGACAAGTGTGGACAGGCTCTGTGCTAACTTCCACAGCACAGCTCTGCTGCTGCACCTCAATCCTGGGCTGCAGCACCTCTGGCTATTCCAATCCCGAATCCCCACGCAGCACCGCCTGCTCTCCCTGTCCAGTAGCCCCGTGGCAGCTCTGTCAGTGCACCTCAATCATGACCTTGCAGTATCTCCTGCTACTTCACTCCTGCACCTACCCACCTTTAGTCTTGCTCTGCAGCACCCTTGCTATTCCAGGCCTGGCCCTGTCCCAAGCAGAGATGGTCAGTTGGTAGGAATAGAATGAGATTGTCCTTCTGCAGTGTAGCTTGTTTGTATAATCCTGTTTAATTCTTTCTTTTCTTTTTCTCCTGAGTGTAATTGGTGTAAACTATCCCTTAATGTAATCAGTACTATCAGACCTGTTTGGGATGTTACAGTTTTTACAGACCCTGTAATTCTAAGATGGACAAAGTTATTTGCTTCAAGATTTGGGTAGCTTTTTCCTCTTTGGCAAAGGGCACCTGAAGTCACATACATAACCCCAAAGGCTGTCAGAATGAAGCCAATTCCGTATGGTTTTACACTCAAGGTATTGGGGTCCGTCCTGTGGGGAAAGGAGAATAGCTAACATGCTAATGGAAGATCTAGAATATATGCCCTGGTTATCAGAGACTGATAATCTGAGATGGCCAGGGAAGAACTGAGAATTGTGACGGTGATGCAGGGATCCTTCTCAGGGGAAAAGTTGATCAGCTAGTTTTATTTTTGCCTCAGGCACCGCCGTCTTCCGCGAACTGGAGCCCACTGGATTCTGTGCAAGGTGCTAACACAGCTGGACTGATGTAGCAGCATGCCAACATCTCATTTGCACTTTGAAGAGTCTGCAGGGATTCCCTGTGTATTTTCAATGGCTATGGGGATTCTTTAGATGAAAGGCACTGTGCAAAATATGAATGTTAACTGATTCTCATTTATTTGTTAATAAGAAAAAAGAGTAGAAAGTGATTCAGACACACCACAATGATAAGCTCAGTCTAAGGGCCTGATCCAAAGCATGTTGAAGCCAATGGGAGACTTTCCATAGACTTCAGTGGGCTTTCGATCAGGCCCTGAAAGCATCGATACTTTAGAATAGAGTAGTCACAATGATCTAGAAACACAAGATCAATATTTAGACATCAGGACTGGCTGGTGGTTTTTAGGAGATGTAAGCATGGGGGGAGCAAGAGGGTATGGTGCAAGGATTATTTCACTGGTATAGAAGGAGGAAGAGGAAGGTCTCTTTATTTACCATTTCCTTTTTCTTGCTCCCTCTTTTTGTGTGTGTGCTCATACAGTACCTACACCAGAGGAGATGTCCAATTTAACCCCGGAATCTTCCCCAGAGTAAGTAATTCACTATGACACTACTTATCTCGCCACTTTATGGTTTCCTTCCTGTGCTAAGGGTGCTAATGGTGTGCTAATGGTGGTCACAGTCCATTCCTGGTCCAGAAAGGCTCTAGCAAATGGTCTAGATATTTGAAAGGGATCTTCCACTGGGGTCCATGGGCCCAATCCATAAGAACATAAGAATGGCCAAAGTAGGTCAGACCAAAGGTCCATCAAGCCCAGTATCCTATCCTCTGGCAGTGGCCCAAAGGGAATGAACAGAACAAGTTTTCATCAAGTGATCCATGCCCTGTCACCCAGTCTCAGCTTCTGGAAAACAGAGGCCAGGGACACCATTCCTGCCCATCCTGGCTAATAGACATTGATGGACCTATCTTCCATTAATCTATCTAGCTCCCTTTTGAACCCCGTTATAGTATTGGCCTTCACAACACCCTCTGGCAAGGAGTTCCAGAGGTTGACAGTGCGTTGAGTGAAAAAATACTTTCTTGTCTTTGTTTTAAACCAGCTACCTGTTAATTTCATTTGGTGGCCCCTTGTTCTTGTATTATGAGAAGGAGTAAATAACACTTCCTTATTTACTTTCTCTACACCACTCATGATTGTATAGACCTCTATCATATCCCCCTTTAGTTGCCTCTTTTCCAAGCTGAAAAGTCCCCATCTTATTTATCTCTCCTCATACAGAAGCCGTTCTATACCCCTAATCATGTTTGTTGCCCTTTTCTGAACCTTTTCCAATTCCAATATATCTTTTTTGAGATGGGGCGACCACATTTGCCTGCAGGATTCAAGATGCGGGCATACCATGGATTTATAGAGAGGCAACATGATATTTTCTGTCCTATTATCTATCCCTTTCTTGATGATTCCCAACTCTGTTTGCTTTTTTCCCCCCAATGCCCAGTGAAGTCAGTGCAAGTGAACACGTGTGGCTAAGGCTCCTCACCTTTTTTGGAGTGCTGAGCTTATCAGCGTTGAAACCCCAGCCTGCTCTCTCTCTTCCTGTGTTTCTCCAGCAAATCATTCTCTGGGAGGAAGGGATTGTAATTGGCCCTCGCAATGCAGTCACAGCACTTCTACTTAGTATAGCACAGTTCGTGTCCCAGGGATAGGGAGTGAAGAGTAATTCCTGGAGCAATTCGGAGAAGTCACTGCCTGTGACAGTGAATGCAGTGTTAGTTCCCGAGAGCAGCACCAGGAGCTGCAGGGGCTATTTAATATTCATCATGCATATTCCTAAAAATCAGTTTACAATTAAACAATTCCATTGCACAAATGTGCGTCACTGCACGGTGTGCTTGGAAGACCCTGCTAAAGAGCAGGGCTCCAAACACTTCCTAATATGAGTAACAGATGCCAAATGAGTCCTTTTTATTTTCACAGTTTGTGTTTGTGCACCCTATGCCCATAGAATTTCCCTGCCAACTGAGGCGATTTAGCCCTCTGTCAAGAAATGTGTGTAAAATATTCATGAGCCCTTGATAAAGTTTTGGGGTCCAAAGATCTCCAGTTAGAGCTAGGGGCATTGCCTTAACACTTTTACTAGTGCCAGGGCATCATATTGTGAAAGCTGGGCAGTCCATTTCCAAAGCTGCACCACCAGGGTGGGTGGGGAATGGTCGGGGGGGGGGGCGGGGGGGGGAATGAGGAGTGAAAAAAGAGGGAGAGGTCCAAGAGGAAAAATAGAACATGTTGTGTATTTAAAGCATGGGGTGTTTACTGCTAGGGGGGACTTAGGGAAACTTCATAAAGAGAACAGGTTCACACTGAAGAAATAAATGAAACACTCATGTCAAATGGTCTTAAGGGTATTAAAGCTGAAAAAGTCTGTGAGTGAAATCTTTTTCTTTTTCTTTCTTTCTTTCTTTCTTTCTTTCTTTCTTTCTTTCTTTCTTTCTTTCTTTCTTTCTTTCTTTTTGTTGTGTGCCTGTGGAAGCTCCTGCCATCTCTACTTCACACTGTCCCTTTAAGAGCCGGTGTGGTGAGGACGAGTCTGTCATTTGAGGCAGTTTGGATGCAAGTCAAGTCCTAAGGCACTCTCTCCCTTTTCTGTATAATTGCTGAATTAATGAGTTCAATTGGGTTGCACCCTGCAGGAAACATAATAAAACTCATAAAAAAATAATGAACTAGATTTTATTTTAACCATAGATGTCTTGTTTCTCAGTGCCCACTTCCACATATTTTGGGTTTTGTTTTTGTTTTCCCCATAAGAAAAAAGACATCTTCATCAAGAACTCTATTGACTTCATGTACTGAGTGATAAACATGTATTTCCTTTCTCTGTTATGGCATCTTTTAATGACTCTCATTCATTCAACAGTCCCGATGATTGGCTAATATACCATCACATGTCTAGGTAATGCTTGTTTTTCTCTGACGGAGAAGTCCTAGTTAATTTATTAGTAATGAACCCTAAAAGGATCTATCCTCAGCTGGTGTATTACGCCAGAGCCCCAATTCAGCAAGGCACTTAAGCATGCATGTAACCTTCAGCATGTGAGTAGTGTCATTGGTCTCAATGGAGCTAATCATATGCCTAAAGCAGTGCTTATGTTTAAGTGTCTTGCTGAATCAGGGTCCAAATAAGGTGGCCAGTAGGGTTCTAGACAAATTACTGTAGAAACCTATCGCTTTTTAACAGAGAATGAGATTCTTTCTTTCTTAACCAGCAGGGATAAAATTCTCGATTAAATTTTATATGATCATTCAGAAAAAGCAATGGAAAGTGTATCAATATCTATTAAATCCTACCAAACTATTCCATATGGGATATAGATTGTTCTGTCCTCCAGTGACATCCCCTCCTTTCTTACTGCCTCCTTAAACACACCTTCCTTTCTCATCCATGTCTGCCAATAACAGCTAATTGACTTCTAGCTGTTCCTTACAAGGAGGATGTCTTTACTGCTACACATCTCCAGAAAGACCTATAGAAATTCAGAGCTATGAAATTGGGCAACATGGGGGCAGCTAGAATTCAGTATAAACCAGGGCAGACTCATTAATGCACCATAGAAGGAACAGTTGAACTAGACATATGCGCGGATGGAGTTGGGTCTTGAGAGATGTGGGTTCAATTCCCTCCTCTTCCCTGTGTGACCTTGGACAACTCACTTAATCTTTTTATACTTCAGTGCCTCCATCTGTACGGTGGGGATAAGCATATTCTCCTCCTCCCACCTTTGGTGTGTCTTGTGTATTTAGGGCAAGATGGTGACTTAGACTCAGATACTTGTGCAGGGGAGGGAGGGGAAGTAAGAGTCTGTTTTTCACCCCTTATTGGCCACAGAGCAAGGGGGAAGCCAGGAGGGAAGTGTGCCTCTGAGACGTGAACAGCACCAGTTGTCGTTTTAAATGTGCCTGGAAGGAAGGGGATAGTCCTACTCTGGAGATTAGTAGGAGCTCTCCATGTGCCCTCTTCTGAACATATCAGAGGACGAGGCAGTAGACCACATGTGTCATGCTTCTGCCAGGATTTCCAAGTCTGTGTTTCCGTTTAAAAAAAGAGTTATTGCCCTCTGAAACAGTGCCCACTACACACAGAGTCTAAACCATGGCCCCTCCCATCACCTAGAGAGGGTTTTCCACGTATGTGAGGGCTCCGAAGACCAACTGCAGTGGGGAAACTAGGCCTCTCACCACCTGCTGGTCAAACAGCTCCTGATAGGTTTTAGAAGAAAGAAATAGTGAAAGGGTCTATAGCATGTGGGTCCATCGCAAGAGAGCTGAGAGGGAGAGTTTGGTGGGTTTGTTACTGAGAGACCGGGAGAGAAGCGAACTAGAAACAATTAGGGAAGAAGTGAAAGCTTCAGCCCTGGTTATTTAACATAAGAATGGACATAGCACTGGAAAATCTACAGTAAACTGGAGAACTAGCCCTGCAGTAAGGCCAAGGGGATGGACTAGAAAGATGACCCTGGGATGTTAGGCCTTTTCCATCTTAAACTTCTACTGCTCTTCAAGCAACAAAAGTACATGGCTCAGTTTTCACACATGAGCATCCGTTTGGTTAGTTTTACTCTGCAACTGAAGATCTCATGTGCTTCCCCAGAGGAGTCCCTCTGCCTCCAGCCCCAGTTTGAGAAAGAGACAGGCAGAGAGGTGAGAGGACTGTCAGTGCCAGTCACTTTTGTACTGCAGGGAGGAAGGGAAATCTGGACTGAATCTGAATCTGAATCTGGAAGGGGAATGACAGCTTTTGGGCCTGATTCTGGGAGATTCTAAGCATCTCCTTCAAGGTGCTGAGAGCCCTTGACTCTTAAGAACTTCAGTTGGATTTCAGACCTTAAAGTGCGGTTCTACCCTGAAAAATGATGAAGTACAAAGGGCAGCTTTTTACTTGGCAGGTCTGTTCCTTGGTTATTTGCAGAGACAGATCTGCTGAGTTGGTGGAGAGAAGTCAGTTTGTACTGGTTTCTGATCCTGTGAGCTCTGCAGAGCCAACATAGTGATAGGGGAATCAGCTGGAGTCTATTCCATCTTGTGCATCACCAACAAAATTGTTTACTGAATTCCAATCAGTTACAGGCAGTAAGGTGTCGGAGTTGTCATTGAGGTCTTAAACTGGCCTAGTGCAAAGTCTTTATTCCTGTTGAGAATTCATGAGAAGGAAAGAACTCAGCTGGACCCTGAGATCTCAGGCTGAGTTTGCAGGGTTAATGGCAAAAAGCCTCATTATTGTATCTATAAAGGGAGCCCTTTTATCTGTAGTCACTGAGAGACCAGTAAATATAGGGACCCGCAAGGTGATTTTTTTTTTAATGATTAATGTACACAGAAGAGCCACATTTAAATATTTACACTTTGGCCCACCCCAGAAGTGATGGATACGAGCCTAGAACAACCAGACAGTTTAAATAGATAACCCAGGTGCAAACAGCTAATGAGCAAAAGGCCCTTAACATGCAGGGAGTGGTTGCCCCAGCTTTCCAGGGGGGCCTACAAAGTTGTTCTGTCATTGTGAGGCACATGAGCTCATTAGTATGTAATTTCCTTTCATACTCTAACCCTAGCTTCTTAACGACCCATTTAAATGAGAGGTTCTTTCTCTTTACTGCTCTCTGCGGTAATCTTTGGCTCACTGACTTAGTTACAGCTGTCTATGAATATTTTAGGGAGTTATGGTTTTCCAACCCACTTTTCCTGAGGAGGGTGATTTACCAAACTGCAAGTGAATCCTTTTGCACTCTGCTCTTGGTCACCTGGGGCAGATGGAAACAGAAGCTGATTAATACTGAGCTGTCTTCCAGTTCTGATCTTTCCTCTGTGTGGATTAAATGGTCAATAAAAAGACAGTGCTGTGATGCATGGAGCAATCCAGTAGTCAGGGCTGAGTCCAGCTGATTTCAAGACTTTGTTCTCCATCCCAGATGTCGAGACTCCAAATGAGTTTTCCAGGGTGTTCCTCTCTCTCCTTAACCCGAGTCTGGCTCCAGGCAGCCTAGATCTAACCAGTTCTGTTTACGCAGTGAAGCAGATCTTTAGCCAGGTGCCTATTGCTGAGCTGTATTAATCCCTTTTCCAGATGGCTCTTTACCAGAAAGACTTAAGGTTAGAGAAACTCTTCTCCTGTTATGTTGTGGAGTATTCTCCCAAGAGAAGTTGTGGAAGTCCATTGCTTGGTGCACTGTAAACCAGACTTGACATGGTCACTATAAAATATTCCGCAGGCAATAATCCTGCATTCACAGAAAGATGGACTGGGTGGCCTAGCGGGCCTTTTAATCTCTAACCTCTATAGACAATCCATCCCTGGTGTAATTTGACTGGTTTCAATGGAGTTTCCTCTGAGATTAATTTGATTCAAGAATTCTATAGCTGTGTCACATGACTGAAGCGATCTTCCCCCTCCACCACACTTTCTACAGGGGCTACCTACTACTCTCAAGCCCTGGCTAAGCCCGCATTGATGTAAATGACCCTGCTTTTCTTCTGTAGTCCTTTTACTTTATTAGTGAATGTTGATGAAGCGGTGCTAGTGAAACCTCTGGAGTGGAAATACACATTTGATGCTGCTGTCAGTGTGAAAACAACAAAGTAATTTCATTTATGGTGGAATCAGCATTCAGTGCTTGAGAAAATAGCAGGTATTGGCCACCGTCTGTTAAAACCAAGAATGATGGTTTGTGTACTTTGATATCTCCTCCTTGATAATTGGTGAAATTCACCCCAGGCAGAAGGCCAGCACAAGGGCCATGCATTCCTTAGATTCCCTAAGTGGGAGTTAAGTAATATATAGGCCTTGTGCTAGCCCTCTGCACAGGGGTGAATTTCACCCACTGACATGGCAACTTGGAGGGAGACTGAGACACCCAGAACAATGTGGGTGTGATAAATAGTGTCACCCCAGGAGGAGATTTTCAGGTTAGGAGCTTCACAACTTTTAGAAAACCTCAAGTGGGCTGGAACTGACCTGGAATGACTTCCAGAAAAATCCAGAGTATCAGTGTCACCAGCACCCACCATGATGCCAGAAGACACAGGAAGAGCCTTGCAGGGAATCTCTGAGATCTGTATGCAGATTTTATATGCACTGTATAAAATGTCGTATTGATTAGTGTATTTGGTTAGAACTGCGACAGCGGCTCCTGGCCTTCCATTGCTGATCACACGTGCTGCTGTAATAAAACCACATGGTCCACAGTCTAGTGTTTGATTGAGTTACATCACATCACCTGTTGTAGCAGCATCACAGTGTGATGAAAGCCTATCATCCTTGTGTCGTAGGCATGTTTGTCCAAATGCCAGGTGTCTAGGAAATGCTTTTCTGTTCTAAACTTACTCCTTCTTTCTTTTTTCTTCATGTCAGGCTTGCCAAAAAATCCTGGTTCGGTAACTTTATCAACCTGGAGAAAGAAGAACAGATCTTTGTGGTCATTAAAGATAAACCACTAAGCTCCATCAAGGCTGACATTGTGCACGCTTTCCTTTCGGTAAGTAAATCTGGCCTGTGCTATAGACTCATCTCACTATTCAATTCCAAGGACATCCTAAGTCCACATATTCTTGGGCAGGGCCCCCACATCCTGGAATTCCTCCCCAGTACCATATTTCCCCAGGGGACTTGCAAAGCTCTAAAATGAAAGAGTCTTCCATGGACCTGCCGATGCTTGGGGTTTAAATGCAGTCAGAGCCTGACGTGCTGCTGCAGTGCCTAGAAAGTCAATTCCCTTAATCGACTGTTCCATTAGATTTATGGCACATTATTTTTCCCTTCTCCTTCTGGGGATCCTCAGGGTGCTCCCTCCATCCCTTGCACCAGATGGGGAAATCGGTCTCACATCAGACTTTCTAGTCTTAATTTTAAATCTCCCCTGTACTTTGCACACATAGAAAGCTCACTTTCTCCTACAGCTGAAACATCCATGGTTGGGGATGCTGTCTGTCTGCAGCTTAAAGTCTTCACACCTGGGATCTTGGGATTAGTGGGGGAGGGGGCATCTCTTCTTCCCAGGCACAGAAGCCCTATTCTCTCCCACCCATAAGTACAAATGAAGAAAATGTAAATGAGAGTGAAGCTGATTTGAGAGATGTTTTTGTTCTAAGGAGTTAGGTACATTTTTTAAAATTTGAGATGCGGATAGGGCTTAGTTTATTTTCTATGTTTTGCTGTATGACATTGTTTTTCTGCAGAAAGGCACTAATTTTCGATCTCTATAATATACCTGCTGTAATGAATTCCATTCCATAGAGCAGTCAAGACCCCTGAACTTCTTTGCACACAGCACAGACCTGTAAGAATGGGCTATAACAAAATAGTCTGCTGTCCACTGTAAATGACCACACATTTATTTAAACTATGCCTCTCCCTTACATGAAGTCCATGAATTCAGCTCCACGTATGGGACTGGTATATTGGCTTTTAGTGCCAAGAAGTCACTGTGAATAGCCCAGCTGCTCTCTCTCACAGCTAGCTTCCTAATTAAAGATAATGCAGCAAGCTGTTGAATGAATCCCTAGGGACAGATTTTCAGAAGACCACCATTCCTATTTAGACACCCAGATAACTGGCCAGCTTGCTAAGATTTTTAGCATGTTGAATGCTGAGCCTATTTGGAATTCTGACCCTGACTGTCAATGCTGGGCACCTGAAAACCTTGCCCTGAACAGTTTAGAAACTCTGGCCTCAAGTGTGAAGATCTTAGGAGTACCCTAGAGGTCACTCAGAGGTCTGTTTCCTACTAATAGTAGGTGGGGGGTAGTTAGGTTCTTCACAGGTAAACAGTCCCTGTAGAGATCCCAGGTTCTGGTCCTGTTTATCTGTCCAGGTCAGCTATCGAGTATCCCTTTTCCTGGTCTCTCTTTGGTATCCAGCTTTGAATTTTCAACCCCCACTTGATATCATTTCTCACTGAGCTGTAAGGATCTACTGGAACTGATGCTTGGGAGGACCCACTATGCTCAGTTGTACAGCAGGGGGAGTTCCTAAATATGTCAAGTAACTTCACCAGTATGCACTCTTTAAACCTGGCTTGATCTGCAAAGTACTGTGCATTCATGTGAGGTGCTGAGTGCCTCAACTCCCACTGATTTTACAAGAGTGCACAGCTCATTGCAAGGTGGAGCCCATAGGCAGCAAAGCTTTCTCTCTCCGATGGCTGGGAAGTCCAAGCGAGAGAGAGAGAAAGAGTGATCTTCTTAAATAGAGCTTTTGTCCTCTGACGATATCATCCCCTACTGTCACCCTGTTTCAGATTCCCAGCCTCAGTCACAGCGTCATCTCACAGACAAGTTTCCGAGCAGAGTACAAGTCCACAGGGGGTCCCGCTGTCTTCCAGAAGCCAGTGAAGTTCCAGGTGGACATAACATACACAGAAGGGGGCGAGGCACAGAAGGAGAATGGGATCTACTCAGTCACTTTCACGCTCTTATCAGGTAACCACGCAGTAGCTGCAGCCTGTGGGCAGGGGAGCATTCACCCTGCCAGTGGGGAGGTCAGAGCATGAGGGCAGACATGGGAGCAGAGAAGATAAAAGCCTAGAAATCAGGAAGAGAGGAAGAACTTGGGAAGGGAAGAGGAATGACAGTTTAGGCCTCCCGCGGTTTGGCAGTGATGGGCATGCTGGGAGAGAAAGGGAAGGTCAATGGGAGCAACTACCGTTGAAGAGGATGCCATCATGGTCAGCCAAAGACGTGAGCTAAAGTCACTGCTGCTCAATGCGTTGGACTTGAAATGCTCCATCTGTCCTGGCTTATTGTTTCAGTATAAGGTGTGTCTCTGAGCAAGGCACTGGGCGGCCACCCACAGGGCTTTTGCCCTTACCCAGAACATAAGTAACAGGGTAGCCACTCTATTGTCTTAGCTGGCCACCAGGCACACTGTGAGAGAGGCAGGCCAGTCTGACTCAGAACTGCAGAACTAGGCCCTTGACTAACCTGGATTCTCTTCTGGGTCCTCTCCCCCTCCCTCCACCATCAGACCTTTACCCCTTCCCCAAAGGCTATGAGTATATTCCCTCCCGAAACAGGTCCAGTATCAAGCGAGCCATCTCGATAGTGGCTGCACAAATCCAGGCTGTGCACCAATACCAGAGCCTCCCCTCCTCTCTAGGGATAGCTCGTATCACCTTTTGACACACACTTGCTCCCCACAGATGGGCTGTCAAGTCTGAGGGAGGAGTCATTTCTGATTTTAAATCCTTGGGAGGAGGGGCAGGGGGGCTAGACCTAGTGGAGATGTGGGCTGTTTAGATTGAGGCTGTTAAGCAGCACTAGGTTACAGACAGGCTTGGCTTTGATAGGATGGATATAATTATTGCCAGTGTCCAACCAAACCCCATTAGAATAGATTTTGAATGGATCTGGCAATAGGAACCTTTGGAGGAGGGCATTGCTGTAATTCCCACTGAGAATGCTAATTCTGGAGGGCAGGGGAACCGTCTGAGGGAAGAGAGAGATTAAAAAGAGAAAACGAACCTCACATTTAGAAAACCAGCCCCCAGGGCATTTCAGATACTAGGATGGGAAAGGAGCGTCTAAGCTCGACTCTTCCAGGGAGTCCTTCACAGCCTAGCTCTAAAGTGGCCGTTCAGTAGCTCTTCAGTCACACCCCACCACCAGCCCACAGACACACTACCCGTCTGATAACGGGGGAGGGGTGGAGATTGAAGGGAAGATGCTTGTTTTTCCTTCCCCTGTGTTATGCCCTGTGCCTTATGGGGGTATTCAGCTCCTGCTCTCTCACCGCTGATTGCGTCTTTTCTCCCCCGCAGGTCCAAGCCGTCGCTTCAAGAGGGTAGTAGAAACCATTCAGGCACAGTTGCTAAGCACACATGACCAGCCTTCAGTGCAGCAGTTATCAGGTATGTTGTTTTCACTGTTCAGTGCTTTGCTTCAGCAAGGACATGAAGGTGAACTGCCTCTCAGTGGGGGGGAGGGGAGAAAAGATGGGGGAACACATCCCTCTGATTGCAACTAGAAACTAGCTTCATTCAGACAGAACAATAACTCTCCGCCCCCATCCACCCTACTCCTGCCTCCCACACTCCATCTCCAATGTCCCAAGTGACTTCCCATCTCCCACCCCAAGAGCCATCTGTACCCGCTCAAAGAAAGCAGAAGTTCCAGATTTTCTGTAGCTCCCAAATAGCAGATTAAAGATCCCTCTAGAATGCTGTAGAACCCCCTATATCCACTCCTGGAATAAAGCTTGGAGCTGCCTTTAGCAAGAAGTTAAGAGCAAAGGCTTTCTGAGTGTCAGAAGGTGGCTCCCAGCTATGGGTAGTGGTGTTAGACACCTGGCCCTGTTGATCGATTGGTGTAGCCTTCATAGTGTATTCAGGTTCTGCAGGATCCCAGCTTTCATTTTTTTAAAAAGCAAGTTTCTAGCCCCAATGATTGTAAAAACCCAAACAAACAAACAAACAAACAAAAACCCTTCCAAGTGGGACCCCAGTGTAATTAATGCAGTCATCTTCCTGAGTCTGCAGTCAGCCTGAAATGGTCACTGAGAGGTGCGAACTTCCTCACTCCATTAAGCACCTTGGAGTGTTCGCCCTAGAGCCTAACAATGACACATTAAAATGTCAGCATTACCACTCATTGCTGATCATTTTAAGAGAACGGAACAGGGAAGAATGTGAGAGTTGAAACCCCTGGAAAGGTGGGAATTGGGAGTTACTGCAGGAAAGGAAATGCAGCGGGAGAAACAGAGGAGACACAAGAGAAAGAAGGATGGGAAAGGAAGACAAGAAAAGGCAGAAAGAATGGGGAGAATTTTCCCATTTGAATGATGCTGACTCCATTAAGTACTGAGCAAATAAAAAATGTTAGTAACTAAAGGATATGTATAAGGGCCAAATCGTCTGCTTGACCTTTGTGTAAACCTGCCATTGCTGTGAATTGGGGATTTGCTGTGGATTTAGGTGGATATGGAGTCCTAAATTTATACCCTGGCCCATGGATTATAATTAAAAATGGAATTTAGCCCTCTTCAAGAAGGAGTTCGATGCCCTTGCTGTAACAGTGTGGCAGGTGAGTGAATTAAATCTGGAGACAGTTCCAGCTGGGAGAGCTATAGAGAGAGTTTTTCCACAAGAAAGAAGTTGTCACTCCGTTTAGGAGAGATCTTTCCCACCTCTCCTCCTCCTGCCAGTATTGCCTAGCCCTTTTCCCTGTAGTACTGGAGACTTCTTCGCCCTCCAAGAGCCACTAAAGGAGATGGGAATGGCTGGCAGTCGAGAGCTAGATTTGTTTTAGGTTAACTTAATCTCAAGGAACCAAGTGCTTTTTTATTTACTGTCCAGTCTTATGGCATTAAACCAGAAACCAGAAAGAAGTGAGACCTTTCCCTCACCCGACACCTGGTGTCCTGCCCTCTCTGGTGCGGTTGAGAGAGTTGGGTGATCAGAGAAGAATCCTGTGGTAGAGATCTGGCCAATTCAGACTAGTTCTGCCATTCCTCCTGCTGTTTGACTAAAGGTCCCCCTCTCCTTGCCACTAAGGGGAAGAAATCCCTTATCCTCAGCTGACCAAACCCTATTAAAGAAATTCATGACCTCTCTAACCAGCACCATGCCCTGGCCCTCTGTGCTTCATCTACTGAAACTAGCTCAAGAGATTTAGACCCTATTTTTCCCAAGTGTTTAAAGCAGCCAGGATGTCCCCATTGGAGAGTCTTCTCAGTGACATGGAACAAAATGCATTCGTCTGCCTGAGAGGTGAGGGAAAGCATTCAGGACAAACCATGCTTTGGGAAATGGATCCGACATGCGGCTTTGTTCTCTCTCTCTCTCTCTCTTTTTCTCATGGGAAATCAAATTATAAAAGCAGAATTTCTTTCCTCTGTCCAAAGCTTCACCAGAGTATCTCTGCGGAGCAATGGAAACCCAGCCCGTTCCTTAACATTACCTCCATGTCACTGAGAAGGGGGGATTATGCATAGAAATCTAACGTACAACAGGAACAGAATGGGTGGGCTCTTGTAAGTAAGAATGACAATACCCTGCAGCAGGGCAGGGGAAGATTCCAGGCAACAGGACAGAGGAGAGACTCCAAGTCAAACAATCCCGCAGTCAAATATTCTGCTCAACAAGATGTGTATGTTTCTCAATAAGGAGAAAAAGGATGCCCCTTGGAAAATTTAGATTGGCGTCTAGGGCCAGGAGAGAGGGAACATGCCAGGGGGAAGGAGAAAAGAGGATTGTTTCCATTAAGGTGGCTGCCAGCATTTGAAAGCTGGCAAGCCAGGGAGCACATCTCCCCAGCTGTACTGGAGCGGGTGAAATGTGATAATGGGAGGGGAGACAGAGAAAGCAGTGACAGGCTCAGTGTCCATCAGCTAGTCCAAATGACCTCTGGTGGGGCAGAAGAATTTGTCTTGTTGGGTGGCAGCCTTGCCAGTCATGAAGTCACTTTCCAGAACCTACCATGGGATTAGTCAATTCTCTCTGAGTGGAAAGCAAAGATAATTCTGTTTCTTTCCTCTCTTCCCAAAGCCTGCAAAGGATATGGGCAATTGTGTTCCGAATGCCTGTCCACGGGGCTTGGGGATGCTGTGGAGACACAGTGCTCAGCCACAGGAATGGCACCAAGCAGATCCGCAGGGAGCTATGCCCAGCCTTGCTCATTCAAAAGGATGGTTTGCCACAGGGTGGCATCTTAGGGAGAGTCAAGGGGAGGACATGACTGAGAAGGAGGAGAGATTGAGACAGAGCTTGCCCATCCCCCACCCCTAGGAAACAAAACTGTTCCCTTCCTCTCCCATGGCTTCGAAGAAGCTTCAAGTCTAATGATTGAGGTCAGCAAGACAGGGCTGCTGGTCTCATGCTGCCGAGGTGCTAGGCACAAGGGGGTCTTCCTGATCGTTGTTAACACCCCATGCTGGGCCTTGTCAGCCTCTCCTGCAACATGAATTTGTCCCCAGTGCTGCTCCTGTTATCAGGTTAATGAGATCCATTGCACTTGGCCTCTGCAGCATGGTGCAGTGGCTCACTTAGCTTTGCCTGTCTCCCTACCAGCCCTGATCGTCCCAGCAGTTGTACTGCATGTTAGATAGTACCTTACTTCACTGGTAGTCCCACTGAAAGCAATGGGACTCCCAGAGTATGGTGCAGCTCTGCATAGGCACTGACTCCGTGGGTGCTCTGGGGCTGGAGCACCCATGGGGAAAAATTAGTGGGTGCTCTGCACCCACCAGGAGCCAAGCTCCCCGCCCCACCTCATCTTACCTCCTCCTCCACTTCCTCCCCTGAGCGTGCCACGTCCCCACTCCTCCACCCAGCGCTTGCCGCCGCCAAACAGCTGTAGCTTGCAAGCTCTGGGAGCGAAGGGGGAGGAGTGGGAATGTGGTGCGCTCAGGGGAGGAGGCAGGGAAGAGGCGGGGCCAGGCCGGGGATTTGGGGGAGGAGTCAGAATAGGGGCAGGGAGGGGGTGGAGTTGGGGCAGGGACTTTGGAGAAGGGGTTGGAATGATGTCGACAGGGGGTGGGATAGGGGTGGAGTCGTGGCAGAGCAGAGGAGAGTTGAGCACCCACCAACACCAGTAGATGCTGGCACCTATGCAGCTCAGCACAAGTAAGTCTGGCAGGATCTGTCTCCTGCTTGCTGCCACAAACCTACCAACTATGAAGTCATGTCTCCTGACTTCCAGGTCAGATGCCGTTATAGGTGGGGCCATTGGAACAAAAATGTATAAAGTGAGAGAGGTGTGGGAGGATCAGTTACAGCTTTATTTTAGAGCAGGATTACCCATCACTGAAAGTGTCTCCAATTCCATCAGTGTCAGTGAGGACTTGTAAGCTCACGATGCTGATGTTCATTCTCTCTCCTGCCCCTCTTTGATCCACTAAGTGACATGCCTGCCCACTAAACCAGCTGGCCTGGGTTTCAGAACAGGACTCACCTTTCTCTGTCTCTCATTTCCCTGAGCTCACATTAGCATTTGTAGATGTTGCACTGTGTGTGTGTGTGTGTCTCTCTCTCTCTCTGGTATAAGTGGGTGTGTTTCTGTGTCACACCTCTGCACCCTTTGGTCTCACTCCCCAGGTAATATCCTCCCTTCATACCCTCATTCTCCTTCTTGGGACTCACTTTGTTTATTCCCTCTCAACAACTCTGAAGCAAGAAAATAAATACATAAATGAATGAAGTCCATAGTAGAAATTAAATTAAAATAGTAAAAATCCATTCAACATCAGAAACAGAGTCCAGCTGGCCAATGTCAGTCCAACACACTCCCCCAGGCAGTGCAGGGAATTAATGCCTGTACATTCTAACTGTTGGGACAACAGCAACATCAATAAATCCATTACGCTCCGCCCTGCCCTGGAAGGACCACGCTGTCCTGGTTCGAGAGAGAAGAATACCATCTCCATGGGCATTCAGCCTTGATCCCACTCCACACACTGCTCTACCTGCGGTACTCAAACTTGACCTAGACAAGACCATCCTCTGCTGGAACAAAAGGATCCCCATGGGGGGAAAAATCTCAGCTCTTTGCCTTTGTCTCCATCCAGTACAATCTCTGCTAAAGTATACTGCACTTTCCTCTGATGCATTTTGACACAGGAATAATAAATACAGCTGGTAAATAGGGGTCTTTTGCAAGAACTAACAGTGATCATTTCACTGTGCATCAGTTTTCCCTGCATTAGCATTTCCTTTCCTTCCTTAGGCTTGTTCCTGGAGAAGGGAGTTCTCCACATACCCTTTTGTCCTGTTTTCTGGGCAAACAACATTGCATCTCTGCAGTAGACTTGCTGCTTCCTTGTTTACTTTTTGCTACTTTATATCAGGTTTTAACTCTTTGGTAACTGATGATTTCAGAACGTTTCAATCTCACAGCTGAAAATTCCAGCTCCCAACATCAGAGTTAACAACCAAATAGATGCCTTCCCCCCCCTCCCCCACACACACCCCACCTCCTCAAAACAAGGCCTGTATGGATGCTTTCTGCCATATCTCTGTACTTACATCCAGCATATACATATGCTGTCTCCTGTTGTACTGATATATGTACTGTGCAGAATAAATGATCCTTAGCTGACTGAAATAGCTTTATTAGTTTATAGGCTTTTCTTGCTGTGCACTCACATTTTGCCCAGGAGCTGTAACAAACTGAAAGATTACCTAGGAAGATGGATATGAAACTTGCAACGTCCAAATGTGAAAAAGGAATTGCAGATTTTCATCCTCAGTCTAGAAAGATTGAGTACATAACAACTGAGCAGCAGGAATTTACAAGGAAGTAATTCCACCAAGGGGGTTCTGGTGAAGATCTAAACCATAAGAATGAAATTCAAGCATCCACATCCTTGATGAGAGAACAATATACTTCAGACAAGTACCCAAAAGCTGGGGAACGTACTTGAACTACCTTGGAGCTGAGCAAGCTAATGGCAATCAAGAGCACTCAGCACCTTGCAGGAGATGCTCAGCATTTGGTAGGATCAGATCCTTGATCTGGAAATCTCACAGCCACAGTCTCTTGCCTGATATTTTCTTTATTAGCAGAAATCAGAAATACCAGGAAACCGAATTTTTTTGCAGGCAAATATAGGAAGCGCAGAAACATATGAGAATGTAAAGAAAAAAGAAAAGAGAGAAAGAAAAGTTGAGAGCACTTCATCAAAATAATAATCATCAAAAAATAAGGTTCAGGGCTGCTCTGAATTTTGATGCAAACCAGTGTATCCATATCCTCATGAAACACACTGGATTTGATTTATAACAGGGTCTTTGTTACATCAGAAATCTGATTGACTGCAGGAGTCTCTGTGGTATAAGGAGTACCCAATATCACCAGCAAAGATATTATTTATTAACATCTGTTGTACATTTTAAGAAGTGCAGTTACATGACACACCCACGCTTCTCAGATGGCTGAAGGCACTTGGAATTCGGCCTCATTTGCCTCACAAGACATCTGAATTGTGCAGGCATCCAGTTCTGGATTATTATCCATGGAGAGAAAACCAGCTACAGACAGTTTGCCGGGTTGGTTTTCATTAAATATTCTATGGATAAAAATGCTATTTTTAGGTTGTGAAACTTTTATCATCTAGAATTAGTATTAGAACAAAACATTACAATATGATGGAAAGGACTGAAACTATTCAAATGGTTGTTATAAGGAAGACGGGGAGGGGATCTTTAGCCACTCAGTATTTAACTGATGTCCTCTGAACTACAGTTTCCAGAATGCATCTGTGTGGTGTTCTTTAAAAAAAAAAAAAAACACCTGATAATGCATGAGGCAGGCATCAGAACTAAATATAGATTCTTATGCAGTTACAGGTACTATACAACATATAGAAATGCAGTTACAGTCGTTTTGGTTGAACATTTTTAAGAAACAAAATGAGTTATTTGTTTTTGCCCTCCAGATATTTTTCCATGCTCCTATAATTTCGAAAGAATTTTTGCATTTTTCCCTACCCATCACATACACGTCTATAACCTGCAATTCATATTTTTGAAACAAAACTATTATATAATGCCTAAGATATTAAATTGAATTGCATCCACAAGGCCACCTTTACAATAATTTTTTGTTTTGTGGATTTGTCTTCTTGCATTCGAATCACTCAGTTAATGTATTTGTAGCAATTAAACGATTAGATGGATCTAAATCAGATTGCAAAAACATCTATGATAGCTGACCACAAGTGACTTTTAAAAAATAAACAGTATTTGCACAAGATATCCATTGAATGTAATATTAAGTTTTTGAGCCAAATCCACAAATGCATGGAAATATCCATTTCACTGGAGAAACTCCCCAGTATCTAACCCTCAAAAGCATTACCCAAATATTCCCCTTTGTGTGTGGAGTGTTGGTAGCTGAGTATCCAGTCCAATTCCCTTGGAAGTCCATGGAAGTCCTGAAGTCAGTGGCAGTTGGATCAGCACTTAAAAGCATGGAAATTCCCATTTAAGAATTAGTTTTCAGTCCTTTAAAGAACTGGATCTGCTAATCATTGACTAAATTCCCTGACCTTTAGCAATAGGTGGTGAATGCCCCCAACAGCTAAGCAGAAGGGGACTATACCATTACACATCAGAGGCTTGATCTAATACCAACTGAAATCAATGGGAACTTTTCCATGGCTTCAGGGCAGTTAAACTGAAGATGGATCCAGCCCAGCTAATGTAAAGCCATTTTTTCTTAGGTCCTGCAACATCCCTTAAGAACTCAAAGCCAAATTCATCCCTAATGTAAATCCATTGAAGTCAGTGGATTTATTCCACAGAATAAATTATGCCTTGTGTGCCTCAGTTTCCTCATTGATAGAATGGGGATAATAAAACTAAGCTACCTCCCAGGGCTGTTGTAAGGATTAATGTTTGTATGGCACTTTGAATAGATAACACTATGGCATAGAAATCCTAAAGGTTATCCTCCTCCAGCCCCATTTGGATCACTGGTCCTTCGTAATGTCCCAGCATGCAATTGTGTTGGTGACATTACTTCAACCAGAGAACACAGCTGGGACCTGTCCCTGCTCCGTGGCAGGTCAGGTGAGTGCCATAGTTGGTTTGATTATATGGTGCAATTTTGTGAAGTTTGTAATAGAGATGGGCCTGGAAGTTGGCAATCTGGCTCCAGATTCTAGGGCTCAGTCCCATCACTGGTTTGTAATATTATTTTATAACCAAAGGGTATAAAATATCATTAAAAAGAAAACCTTTGTAAATCCAGACCACATAGTAAAACAGGCACGTATCTGGCAAACACCCCTCACCCCAGTCCTCTCCTGTCCCTCAGAACAGGAGCAGGCAATGCAGGTGGGGCTGGATATTGTGGTTGGCGGTATCTGCTATTGGAGGCCTTGGGCACAGTTTGCGGCAGCTGAGGGAGTTCTAGCTAATCCAAACCATTTGCAGACTCACCTTTGATGTCCTAGTAAATTCGAAATGTTGTTATGTAATTTCAGTGAGAACATGGTTTGTGCTGCACATACATAGGAATACATCTAACTCCTACCCTTGCCCTGTCAGGGACAGGATGGCCAAGGCCCCTAAAGGACAATTAAACCTCCTGGCCCCCCTCATGTGCCTGATCCCCTTCTTTTTGTCCCCCACTCCCTTCCCTTGAGCCCCACACCACCCCTATGCCCTAAGCCTCCATCACAATCCCTGCCCCCTCCTCCTAGCCCCTCTCACACACCCTATTTTTCCTCTGCTCCCTGATCCCCTTCCTTTTTTCCCTCTTCCCCAGTCCTAACCCTTTTTCAGGAGCCTCCCATGCCTGGTGGGTATTATTTCTCTGATGCCTCTGCCAGCCAGACTCTAACCTTTGTGTTGGGGATTGCTGGAGGTTCTTCTCTGCTGCTCCGACCAGTGCCAATGGACCCAAAATGCTCTCCCTTTTCCATGGTCTCTAGAAAACACCTATTGTGATCTTCCCACCTTGGTTAACATCTGAGGAGCATCTTATTCAGGCACATGGTGTCCTCTACCTTCTTTTTTAATTACTTTCCTCAGCATTCTGGGGAAAGGGGAGCTGACTTATTACCCAGGCCTGCCCCCTTCTTGGCTGGCATCAGGAAGCCTATCACTCTGGTGTCTAAGTGCTGGTAGAGAGTCAGAGCAAGAAGAGAACTTAAACTGAAGTGCATTAGAAATCATCTAGCTGCTCGGCAGCCAGTGGGTGCTCAGGATTGCCCAGCGTTCTGAAGCCATCCCCCTGGGTTCTGCGCATGCTTCCCGAACGCTGGGGAATCCAGAATACTGACAGACTGGGGAGGAGTTCCACATGGTCATGTTCAACCTGGCTGGTCTTTCTGCATTAACACTTACATTTACTCTACCTTCTGCGCCCTAGTTTCCTGGATTTGGTTTAGAAGCACTTAGCTGCCATGGTGATGGGAGCTACAGGCAATTTTGATAGAAAACGCACATAAAACAATTTTCGGGCATATTCCACCATCCTTTTATGTTAAGCAGAACTTTAGTCTGTGAGCAATCCCGTTAAAATCCATCTGACTAAGGGACTACCCCGTCTGAGTAAGGGAGGCAGAATTATGTTTATGACTGAGAGGATATCCCTTGGAGTATATGAGGTGATTTTGTGATGGGGATGGATGCCGGAAGAGTGTGACTGACACCTAGATCACATACAAAATAGCATCCTGCCAACGTGGTGGTGTTGCACAGATCAGCTGCTTAGTCACCATCTTGATTTTGTAGGGCTACTTTTGTGGCTGGCCAGGTGAAACAATATGGTTCAAGATTTTTAATTCATTGATATAGTTGCAAAACATTATTTGCTTGTTTTAAACATCTGTAACTGAGATAAGAGACTGGATAGAAATGGGGGGCAATGAGGCAGAGTGTGCTCTCAGTTACACCGTGGGGGTTCCGCTGGCGTAAATGGGGGCACAGTTTGGCCTGGGTTCTGGGTTGTGTAAACTCCTAGCTTTGTGCGTTTCCTGCTTCAGGAGATAATGCGCTAAGTGACTGCTTTGTGCACAGAGGTATGGAAACCTTTTTTTTTTTTTTTATGTTTTTCCATCCCTCCCTCCTCTTTCCATTCTATGATCCAGACACCACTAACTGTGTGGAGTTGATGACTGGCAGACTTTCCAAATGTGGTAAGAACTTCCCTTCTGCCTTCTATCCCTCCCCTAACCCCTGCTGAATCACATAATGTCCTCCTCTCCTCCCACTCCTTTTGCACATCTGCCCACCCCCTGACAACTCCCTATACCTCTCATGTACCTTCTGTACATACGCACACCTACTCCTGTTCCTCCCCATCCATACCCCTACACACAAGGCCCATCACAGTTTCACCCTGCACAGCACAAGTATGCGTTGTTCCACTTGTGAGTTTCTCCCCTCACTCTAATCCATGCCTGCTGGCATTTTTGCTTTTTCGCCTTTGACTCAGACTTCACTTTGAAGTCGCCTTTCTGTGGGTGAGGCTGTGCACCGCAATCCCTGCTTTTGAGTTGCTGCCTCCTTGTGTCTCCTGCAACAGAGAGAGAAGACTACTTTCATTCTTCTCCTCATCACTCTCTCCTCCACTCCCCCATGTGTGTTTGGGGTAATCCCCTCTTTCTCCTGGAAGTCCACTGCATAAGACAGATCCCACATTATGGGCCAGATCCTCAGCTGGTGTAGATCAGCATAGCTCCAGTCTGACTCTGAGGATTAATATTGCCCTTCTGGGACCAACCATAGTTGAGGCTTTTTACTAGGGATGGATTAACTTGTTTCTCCCAAAACTCACATTTGACCTTGCTTGAGGTTCCACAAATTTCATTTAAATTGACACACACACACAGAGAGATTTTTCCTTTCTTCCTGTGTATTTGCCCTTCCTGGTGAGAGCAGAAGTGGAAATGCCCGAATACACCAAGGGAGGTTTTTCGCTTGGTACTTCTGGCCTGAACAGAAACAGGAAGTTCCTGAAATGACACAAGAGAGCCTCTTTTCTTTAGATGTCTAATCCAGGATGGTAGGCCTGAAACATTCAGATGTTTATCTGAACCTGAAGTCCAAACCTGTTTAGGATCTCCTCACTGAGTCAAATACTGCTCTTGGTTACACCACTGTAAATCCCAAGTAACTTCTTTAGCTTCTGTAAAGTTGCTCTGAGGTTACAACGGAAGTAATATCGGATTTACAAAAGTGTAGCTGAGAGAAGAATTTGGTCTGTTACCTTTTATCCACATGATCTCTTTCCATTAAATTACAGTTTAGCTGGAAGGAGTTTTTCTGATTCTCTGGAGGGGGTTCATTTTGAATTATTACTTCAGTTCCTGGGTTATATTGTTCCCACTCTCCGCCTGGAGGCTCATTTATGTCCTAGGCAGATCTCCAGCCTCTCTGTAAAAGCATCAAACAGCAAATCTGTCCTCTCCCTCAAGCTGCAGTTAGTTGCCTGGAACCGGCAGCAACATCATACAAAAATACTGAAATTCAGATTCCACTGATTGCTTGAAAGTTAATTGAACTACACAGAAAACCAGTCGGTGCTCTGCACTCTCTAAACAGTGTGTCTATTACTGTTCATCTTCTGCCCAGCCACGCCCACCAGCTGTCACATTGTCAGCTTCAGTACTAGCAAGGGGAAGGGAGACTGGAGCAAAGGCCAGTGAAAGAAAGCATTTTGTAGGCAATGGAACAGAGGAAGTACATGGGCAAATCCACCTATGCAATAATAGGATTTGTGTGGCTTAATGGAGCCACTGTCTATGTGTCACACACACTTACGCACAGAGTAGCAATGACTTATGTTGTGCCAAATTCTACCCTCATATGTAACTCCAGTGTCATTCCAGAATTTGACCCCCCAGAGGCAAACTCTTCGCTGTGGCTTTGAGGACAAGCAGCTTTCTGTGAGGCTGAAATGATGGTTCACCAACTAGCCACTAGAGGTGTAATAACAAATAAGCAACAGTGTGTAGACCCAAGCACCATACTCCATCAAGTGTCCCAAGTCATCATAGTCAGAGAGCACCATCCTGAGGGGCTGTGTGGTTTAAGCTTGGTTAGACTGTATTTAGGCTCCAGCTGAAGTGGGCAACTTTGTGATCGCTAATGTTGAGCCCCGCACTGTTATCTATACCGGGGTGCAGTGGCAGAGAAGATCCTGAGCTGCTGCTCCCTTACGATGACCCTGACCCTGTAGGCATTGGACAGAGAAGTTCTGTTCCTTATGGAATCCCCCCGCCATTTGCTCTGCCCCTTGCCCCCCGACACAGGGGCACCTGCAGGAACAAGCTTGCCAATGTGTGCTGCCCTCCCGTAGTGGAAGGCATGGCTCACCATGTTTGTGCTGTGAGCCTGTACAGAAGGGAACATTCCGGTTTTTGATGAAATCTGACGTTTCTCAGTTTCCTGCTGATTATCAGCCATTACATATATAATTGATGCAATCGGATTGATATTGATCAAATTGTGACCCAGCCATGGGGGAGTGGATTTGGGGGAGAAGTCCACCATTAAAGATCATAATCCAATCAGGATTAAACTATCACAAGAAATACTACGGGCCAGAGTTTCCAAAGAGCTCAGGTCCAGATTTCCAAGTGCTCAGCACCCACAATTGGGGCCAGATTTTTCAAAGGGCTGAGCATCCAGCAGTTCCCACATGGGGCCAGACTTTCAAGTCTCCAACACCAGGTGTCTTCCTCTCTTAATACAGCAATATATCTGCCTGCAGAAAACTCAGAAACGTCTGTTTTAATTAGGAATATTGCCATACAATCTGCACTTTATTTATGTCAGTCAGTGCCTCTGAAGGTCCCATGTGAAAGTCGAGGTACTGTGCTAAATAGGCGTGGCTTTCCTTTTAAATGAAACACAGTGTTGATGAGATTATGTCACAGGAAATAGGAGGTGAGAGGCAAGAGGCAAGGAATGAAATTTTCACCAGTGCCACCTTGGGGACAGTTCAGGGAACTTAAAACTTGTGAGTTCACTGTTGACTGTCTGATAGGAAGGGGCAAATCCTGTTCTTAGGTGCCAATATTGTTCTAGCACCGGGAGCATCATATATGAACAGAAGATGGGGATTGGGAAACAAAGGCCTTTAAGACAATGGACAGTGGCAATGCCCATGATGCTGGCCGCGGCCATGGCTTTAAGAAAGAAAGGAAACCTTTCATTGAAAGAACTCCCTGTGATGAATTTCCTGTGTTTGAAGGCCAAACCATTTGCAATGAGGGTATCTTTCAACACCAAAAGCTTAGGCCCCTGTCCCCCACCCTCTCCTGGCATGCTCTCTGCATTGCCAGCAGATGTTCAAATGCACACACAACTCCTTCCACTCCCCCTCCCAGTCAGTTCTCTGTAATGTTGTGTGGCAGTAGTGACTTGGCCAGTGCTAGCTCTTGGTAGTGATTTTTGTTGGCAATGATTGATGCACGTACAAAACGTTCCTGAAATGGTAGCAGAAAAGAAAGATGCAAGAGAGGGAGAATGTGTGCAAGCCGTAGCAGCTTCCAAACCCTCCTGATTCCTTTTTGTTTCTGGTAGTTCCGGCAGACGGAGCTGAGGTTCTTTATGAGGTCAAAGCAGACACATTGTTCCTGGTATAACCACCCGCTCTTCTTCCGTGAAGCTTGTCGGCTTTGCCCAGGGTGCCTGTGGCCCCACTGGTGCTAAGTCCATGTCAAGCAAATTTCTTAGCAATGGCAAATGAAATATGGGGTCTTGAGAGAGAGTCCATGCAGCCTATCTGGACAGGATCTCTTCACCTCCTTGGTCTGGTGTCTGGCTGCAATTCCTTCCTCTTAGTGCTGCTGTACCCAGTCCATTTACAGTTGCAGCTTCTTTTGCGGCGTTAGGCAGAGTCTGTGCCGCACATGAATTACCCTCTGCATAAAGATATTTCTATTTCACTCCCTCAATGCCCAACCCCTCCATAGCTTCAGTACTTGTTTTCAAGCCTTTTACCCTCTGCAACATCCACCCCTACCATCTGGCTCAGAAATGCACATGCCCCAATCATGTCGCCACTCAGTCGCCTCTTTCTAATGAATATAAACTTAATCACCACATAGCTATGATGCTTCTTGCGCTTTACCATCCTTGCTGCCCTTCCTCCGGTGTTTGTACTGCATCCACCAGAGTTTGTACTCAGGGTTAAAGAAGCTCCCAGTCATGGGACATTATCTCTCATTCAGAAATATTCACTAACCCTTCGAGACCCTGACCTGGATTGGCAGATGTGATATATCCCACTGCCTGTACCAGGTACTAATAGCAGGAGACTTCTAAACATAACTAGTGATGGTCCACTAACTTCTGCAGGTTCAGGCCCCGTTTTCCTGGCAGTTAACGAGCACTCACCATCTTGGTGTTCTCAACATGCCTGGCCCTTCTTTATTTATCATCACAGAGCAAGTATCAGTGCGGGTGCCCTTTACTCAATCCAAGACCATTATCTAGATGAGTCCATGGGTGTCCTAGCAGGCAAGAATATGGATGCTGTGGTTGCCCATATTGCCTGGCCCTGGTTACCAACAGGACAAGAGAGGATGGAGACAAACTATTTAATTGCAAGCTCAGCTACTGTAAAAGGCAAAGGAAAGAAAGGGTTAGTGAAATGGCCTATTTTTTTTCAATAGCTCTCTCTGAATATCCCTAAGGATTTCTCACTTCCCATTAAAATTTGAGCTGAGAACGCTGATTATAAGGAATTCAGTAGTGATATCGGCAAAGGGGAGGTAGGCTATTAAATACTGTTGGCCCAGTAAATCTCCAGACACTTGAGAGCCAATAGGGCATGGGGGTGGGGGAAGAGTTGAATATTTTAATAGGAGGATTTAAAATCCTGTATTAGGACTCACCAAATGCAGAGCATTTACATATAAAATGTACTTAGCATTTTGTTGGTCCATTCGTGCAAATTAGACTTTTGTCTTCTGTACCTGTCTATGCAAAGAACTTAAACCTTCCCAATCCCCATAGAACTCTGCTTAGTCTGCCCTCCCCCTTCCCTCTAAGCCTGTGGAATAAACTGCTCCACTGAATCACTAGAAATACCCCCCTCTCCTTCCCTCCCTAGCCCGCATTTTTTTTTTTAGTGCTCTCTTCCATTCTTTCTGTCTGCTGACTCCATTTGTGTATGAAGATGAGGGTCCAAAGCCACATAAGAACTTGTCCTGTCCACAATCCTGCATTCAAGGCTGAGTGTTACTTGCATTCCCTGCCCTCCCACCCGCCGCGTCCACTCGTTTTTCCCACTGGAAGGGAGTAACCACCTCTAGAAGTAGAGAAGAGTCTGAGCAGAGCGTGTGCCCACAAGCCATCTGGCTAGGACAACTTCACTGAGCCTTAGAGAGGGGCCTCAGTAAAAATCCTGTGGCTGAAACCTCCATCCCCCTGAACTCTGGGGAGATTTCAGAATCCAAACCAGAATGTGTGTGTGAAATTCATGGCATGTCCAATCTCAGCCACAAATTTAGGATCCATGTTTCAAATTTCCCCCAAATCTGAATGTGTTGGTGTTGGAGTCTGAGGTTTTGGTGTGGGCCATCTCTAAGACTGAGACCTACCTTGGTAGCTAGGTCACACTTGTCCAGCAGCTAATGGTGGCTTGGACTTGTTGTGTTCAGTGCAAAGAACCAGCACCTGCACTCAGTTAAACACTATACTACCTACCAGACAAAACCAGGCCTATAGTTATACAGGTAAATGAGGGCTCCTTACATAATATTTGTGCCTTTTAAAGTGAGGAAATCCCAAAATTAGAGAGACAAGGTGGGTGAGGTAATATCTTTTATTGGACCAACTTCTGTTGGTGAAAGAGAAGCTCTCCTGCTGACAAAGCACTGTCTACACAGCGGGGGTTAGGTCTGTATAACTACATTGCTCGGGGGGTGTAGACAAAACCTTAGTGTTGTTCCATTGTGGATGTGGGACAATGACACTTCATACACTAGAGAACCATATGGCAATGATAATAAAACGTATCGAGGGTGTTATAGAAAGGGGAAATGGCAGACAAAGAGATTTTTTTCAGTGACATGAAAGGCTATGTTCTGACAGATGTGCAGCACCCAATCTGCGCCATAGTTTGCCCTAATCTCGTGGCTAAATTAATCAAAGTTTCCTAATGCTGTTTTCTATTAGCGTATGATGCTGCAATTCCTTTGGCTTCCAACTCCATAATAGTGAAGCTCATTGGCTGTTTTAAAGAGGGTGGAATGCAGAGTATATCAGCCTGATACTAGTTCTTGCTTTGTGGTCCCACCAGGTTAAATCGCGGCCAGAAACCACATGTGCACAGGAGCCTGGTCCTGCAGTCTGCTGAGCATTCTCAACTCCTGCTGTTGTCAATAAGGATTGAAGGTGCTCAGAATCTTGCAGAATCACAGCCCCACACATACTAGTTGAGGATTGCCCCCTTGCATCCCAGCCCTACTCACGTGTCAAATGCTCGTATTCCCCTGGAATGCACAGGTGTTCCAGGCCAAGTGGTTGAGTGGGTGTTCAGGGAGAGACCAGTCAGTGTAACTAAAAGAAGGAAGAAAAGCATAATGTCTAACACAGAACTTGCTAAGGCTGCAAGGCAAAGTTGATCATGCATTAATGCCCCACCTTTATCGATGCAGTTACACAGGAACTGCATCCCCTGAGGGTTACAGTCCACTCATAGAGTTGCCAAATAATTCCAGACCAAAGGTATAGCTGTTTCCACAACGTGGTGCGGTGTGCCAGGCTTACGTAGCAATGGAGTTCTCCTGCTCGGTAGGATCTCTGTTCCCAACCACATGGTAGGCAAGTAGGACATTCCCCCCTTGGCACGTTTTGCTCCCAGCCTCTTTACTGCCAGAGGTGTCCCATCCTAACACTCTTCCTCTTGCTGCTCATCATCTTCATCCTCCACACACCCCCATGCACGTGGCTCTGGATCTCTCATCACGTTCTTCTTGTTAAAAACCCCATTGTTCATTTGTTTGTTTGTTCTCTCTCTCTCTCTCTCTGTTTCTCTTTCTCTCTGTGTTTTTTTTTTTTTGTCTCTTCTGTTTTGTGTACCCAGGCAGCCCATTGAGTAACTTCTTTGACGTAATTAAACAACTTTTTTCAGACGAGAAGAACGGGCAGGTGAGCCATCCCCCCGGCACGCCAACCAAGCATAGCGCAAACAGCAAGCGGAGCGATTCCGATGCTAATGACTATGGGTCTAGAGGAGACAATAAGTACCCCGCTGGCAAAGACAAGGCAAAGATGGTCTCATCAGGCGGCCTACAAGACCAACCTTAAATAAATACATTTTAAAAAATTAAATAACTTAAAAAACAAAAAGCAAGAAAGAATCAAAGAATATTCCTTAGCAAGCTAGCCTCTAAACTAGAAGGATGTATATACCTTTCCACAACAGTACAAAACTGTCTATAGACAAATTTTGTAAGAAGGAATGACTGTATATATATACATATATATATTTATATATGATATATAATATATATCTCAGAAACAAACACACACACAAAGAAAGAAAGAAAGAAAGAAAGAAAGAAAGAAAGAAAGACAAGGTAGCACAGATGACAAAATCCAGTTCACCAGATCTTGGGTTGTGGCTTTTTTGGTTTGGTTTTTTTTTTGTTTTTACATCTCCCTGTATTTTGAGTATTTTTATTTTTTTCCCCTCCTGATGTTTTGTTGGATTTTTTAAATTATTATTTTTGTTTCTTGTTCTGTTCTTGCTCTCTCTGTTTCTGACGACACCACTTGTTTCCGCTCTGCTACCAGGAATTATCCCGAAAAGTTAACATGTCAGCCACGGCTTCACCTTCTGTGCTCTGCGGACACTTGTTGACGGAAGGAAACCGATGTAGACTGTCCAAGGACCAGTCCTGTTTGAGGTTCCCAGCCTCCCCCTCTGTCCCCAGGAAATGGGTTTCTCCCCCACCTCCTCCCAAACACCTCCCCAACACGCACTTTTTCTCTTTTTCTTTTTGGTGCTCCACGAGGGAGATCTGCTCAGTAATGGGATTGCACAACCTGGGCTGGAAGCAGGTTGCAATTGTTGGAGTGACACCATTGCCCTTGACAACATTCATCGGTGCAGGTGAACTCAGACTGGCAGGGGGAGGGGGGCAAGAAACAAGGGGAAATGTTACCATGAAACCAGGGAGCTCTCTCAGCCAAAACCACCAAGGAGTGAGTAAAAGCAAAGCGTCAAACCAAGAATATCGGGGAGTTTCACTGTGGGATTTTCTCAAACTCCTTTCCCCCCCACCCCCGTCCCCACCCTTTCCTTTTGTTTTTTTGTTTTTTTAAATTGTGTTTGTTTTTTATACTCTTATCATTTTGCTTTTCAACCTGCTGGAAGGGGGGGGATCCCCTCCTGGGGGTGGGGGGAATGAACAAACACAAAAACAAACAAACCTTAAAACTTAGGGAAAAGGCAACATACGGCAGCAAAAGAGGCGGGCCAGGATTCTGCCTCGCCGAGAACAGCCTCTTGCCACCAGCTGCCGTTGCCACAGCTGCTGCTCCTTCTTCTTCATCTTCCTCCCCCGTCTTCAACTCCCCGCCTACCACGCTGCCAGGTTGGGACCTTCTTCCGCCATCTGGATCCGCCAACACCCCCTGCATTTGGATGCAATTGTCGTGTCGCTCGTGCTGCATCAATATCAGTATTATTATTTATTTGCTGGGTTTGATTTATTTATTTGATTTATTGGGTTTTTCAACAAACAGAAGAAGAAGAAAAGAGGATAATTTGGGGGGTATTTTCCCATGTGTGTGCGTGTGCATATCACTGGCACTTAGTTCATTTGAGTGAGACGAGGAGTCAGTGCTATGGGCAAGTGAATCACGAAGCTACTGTAAACTTTAAAAATTACTGCAAGATATTTTTATAAACTTTTTTTTTTGAAAGGGGGCTGGCGGGTGGGAGTGGGTGGGTGAGGACTGTTTTTTGTGCTTAAGTTATTATTAGGTCTTGGTTATTTATATATACATATATATTGAAAAATTTAAGCTGTTAGATAGATCTTCTGTTTTGTTTAATTACTGTGTAGAGGCAACACTGATTCCTATTTATTTGGGGGGGGGGAAGGTAGAAAAAAACCTTAAATGTTCCTCTTGCGAACTTGACTTTTTATTTATTTATTTATTTATTTTGGTTTTTTTCCCCTGGGAGCTACATGACCAAGTGTAATTTATTCTGGCCCAAGTTCAAACGAACAAACAAACATGGTTGTAAACGTCAAAGACAAAAACACAATGAGAAAGACTTCTTTAGTGAGGTTTTAAAAACATAGGGTTAGCATTAGAGTGCAAGTCTCTTATGACCTTCAATTGCTGTTTGTTGGGTTCCCTCTGGGTGTATGTTGTACGACAAGAATTTTTATTTTTTCTAAATGATACCATCGGGCAGTTTCTCTCTTTTTGTTGTTGTTACTGTTGTTTAGTTTGTTTTCCCCCTCTTCGACCAGTTTCACTTGTACATAGGTTTGAAGATTAAAAAAAAAAAAGTAAGGCACAATTGAGATGGTAACCTTTAACCCTTGACCTTTCCTTGTCCCCCCAAATGGAAGAGATTTATTTTATTTATTTTGGGGTTGTTTTTAATTTATTATTTTTTTCCTATTCTTAAAATTGTATCGCTGTGTGCATGTCAGATGCCGTGGGGGTGATGGCTGGGGATGGGGGGAGGCCAGGGTGCAGGACGGGGGGGCAGTTTTAATTGCATGACATTGCTGTAAATTAGTCTCTTTTGCTTTCGTTGTCTTTCCTGCCTCTGCCCTCTCTCTCTGCCTCTCCTCCAGGACCTCCTGCGACCACCTCCATCCTCTTTTCCCTCTTTTCTCTGTGTGTATAGATTTTTGATGCTTCTGTTACATTGTACCTCTACAAAAGGCTGGGATTTCGATACAAAATAATAATAATAATTTACAAAAAAAACAAAAAAACAAACCTATATCAGCAAAATCCATGCAGTACAAGCAGGAAGGGGATTACTTACACAAGATATAAGAATAAACGAAAGCAATACCTCTTGTTATCCTTCCGATTTTGTACTTTGACGACACACATGCGCACACACACACTCACAGAAACAAACTGACATTATTTAACAGTTTAAAATGGACAAAAAATCTGATGTATCCCTTGTTAAATAACTGTGAGCAACTTTAGTTCAAAAAACAATAAATTCATTCAGTAAAGACACTAGCTCTTGAGTGTCCTGTTTATGTCTACGGTGGAGATTCCATCCCCCTGCCTGCCAGCACCGGACTCAGGTAAGTACTGAGCAAAGGCCTTTCAAACCTAGACAGAGAAGTGTGACTTGCACTTATCCAAGTCTCCTCCTAATCATGAATTAAACACAGGTTTGCTACAATTTAGTAGTTTATGTTTTGCCTGACCAAGCCGAGGACAAACAGCCAGAGTAGTTTAACCGTATGTATCTGTTTCTTGTGTTAACACACATGCGAACGCTGGATATGAATTAGAGACCAGCACAAACCAAAACCCCAGTCTTCAGGAGTGTCTACTCATTCTGAGCATCTCAGTTTTTGGCTGGCCAGGTCAAGCTACCTAGCTCCTGAATTTATCAAAGGTGCCAAGCACCCACCGTTCTCACCGGAGTTTGTCTGGAGTTGTCAGTACTCAGCATTTCTGAAAATCAGGCTGGCAAATAGAAGCACCCAAAATGAATGGACACTATTGCAAAGTTGGCCTTTCATGCAGTGAGCTCAAATCATTTTACCAAGGCGCTGTAGATGTCATTATCCCTATGTTCAGGATAGAGAAAATGAGCCAACATTGTGACATCAGCTATGACACACAATGCCTCATTGGCAGGGGTGCAAATAGGAGCCTGGTTTCCTGACTTCCAGTCCATTGGACCACACTGCTACTTTACTGGGACATCTTCCAGGCAACTAAGTTAGCGTAATGAGAGTTCATAGGGATAACTGCTATTCAATGGGGATAGTATTCGTATTCATTCTGCATAAGGGAGATGTATTTGATTGGTGCCGTGGGGTTTAGGGGTGTTTAACCAGCTGTTGAATAGGGGTGAAATTCTGCTCTTTGCATAAGCAGGTCTCCAAAGGGGAAACTGAAAGAAGCGTAAGGAACATGAAGTGCACCGAATGCTGTTTTTTGACTTTCGCGTGATTATCGACTATGGTGTTTTGATTCGTTTTCAGGCTTCTCCATGGCCTTTTAATGGGACCAGTCGGTTAACAATATGATGGTAGGCTGCTCCCTGGAAGTCCCAAATAAGGCTTTTACTGTCTCCCTACTATGCCAAGTCCTATAGATTACAGGGCCTCCCGCTCCTAGAGTGGGCTGTACTTATACAAAAGACCTTTAGCGCTTCAGTGTCTTTCCTACAGTAGGGCCATAAACCACTGGGTATTACACCTTGAGCTTCACAGGTCTGTTCAGTGCTTTCCATAAGCACCCAACAGCCATGCCAGCTGTGCTGCTGGTAGCAGTTTGTTGCAATGCCTGCAGCAGGAGGATGCTTTGCAGTGGGAAGCAGGAGCTAGCCTGCCTTGGGGACTCATACAGCACAGCGCTACTATTCACGGGGTGGCTGGTGAGGAGGCTACAGTACTAAATCCTAATGAGTTTTGCAGGGTGGGGAGAGTGTTTGCACCCCCCCCCCAGCACTGCCACTTCCCCCCAATTCCTTTAGTTCTTAAACTAACCACCCACCTGCTCCCCCCAGCAGCACAGTGAGGTGGGCTCAAGCCAGGGGTGGGAGGGACAAGCGGGCTGGGCCTGCAGTGCGGCATACACGGAGCAAGCACAAGGGGCCTGGAGGGCTACCAGCGCTTTCCTGCCTCCCCCGGGCGAGGCCCGTGCTCATGAGCCACCCTGCGCTCCAGGCCACATGGGGCCAGCCCTGGCATGTGAGCACAGTGCGGCACCCTGCCCCACAACCCAGGACCTGTGCAAGGGGTGAGCCAGCCTGGGCCTGCAAGGGAGCAGCAGGTAGGGGCTGGACTGGGGAGGCCAGTGACCTGATAATGGGGAGGGGGGAGAAGCAAGGGCTGTGTGACCTGCTCAGGAGAGTGGGGGATGGGGAGCTGTGAGAGGGTGGGGGAGGATTTGGGTGCATAGGTGCTGCTGCACCCCCCTTGAAGTGGTTCCCATCACACAGGATTTAGCGTTTGGATCAATGGCTCTCCACACCCCTTCACAGGTGGGGGTGGCATGTGACTTGGGGAGCCAGGACCTGATGAGGGTGGGTCGGGGGTGGGGGGGCTCTGACTTGGCAAGGAAAGCAGGAGTGTGGGGGTGACTGGGACCTGGCAAGGGCGGGAGGGTGGCTGTGACGTGCTGAGGATATTTGGGGTGCAGGGGGCAAACATGGGGTGCATGTCTGGCCTGGGACTCTGCAGCCGAGGGCTGGTAGGGAGCAGAACAGTGGAGCCACTGGTGTCCCTTCAGGCGGGAAGGGGCGGCATGGAGCAGAGTTGGGGGGGCAGTGTCCTCACAAGCAGGAGGAGCCGTGGGCAAGGGAAAAAGAGCCTCAAGTAGGTTTGTTGCTGGATTTTATGGGGGAGATGAGTCAGACCTGACTTCGAATGAGGGAGTCATCATGATTTTTTGGGGGGGGAAGGGGGGAAGTCTGATTGCCAGCCCCAACCCTGCCACTTTTTAGGGGCACCAGCTCCCCACTGACATGGTGAACCCAGGAGCAGCCAGCAGCTGAACCTATGGGACGAACCCCTTAATCAACATTAGGCACAGGCCATGTGTGTGGCTGGCTGGTTCTTGCTCACATGGTTCATGCTCCGGGCCTATATGGGGTCAGGAAGAACTTTCCCGCAATGAACTTGGGGTTTTTTTGTTTGTTTTTGCCTTCCTTTGCAGCACAGGTCTCTTTCCAGGATTATCTGGGTATATCGCACTTAAACATTTCCCTGCCAAACATTGCAGGGGGGCCTCCAGCACTGGTATGCCTCAGTCCCTCCGATTCTCTGCCTGTGGCACATAATAGTCTAATCTTCTATGGTCTGTAATACTTCGGGCTAATGTGGGTTGTTGGGTTCGGTGTGCGTGTGCTGGGTGGTGTTGGTGGCCTGTGAGGTACAGGAGACAAGAGTAAATGGGCTGGTGATCCCGTCTCTATGGCTCTCGGTGCTAGCCAGGGCACAAGAGGCTGCAAAAGGGGGAAGGATATTTTACATCCCCCTATATTTCCCAAGGTAAATATTGTGTCTGATACCTAGAAAATCCCATAGAGTGGAAAACCATTGCAGTATGTTAATCTTCATGGTATGGGCTGAGATGACAAATCAGCAACCAATTGGTTTACAGAGAGTACGACCTACAAAAAAAAAGGCAAATGTCAGCACTCACCTCCAGAATGTGTTAGAGAAGGTGAAAATAATGAGGTATGTATGTCTGCTCAGCCCACTGTGTGCTAAATGTGTCAGTCAGAAGATAACATGTGCAGGGACTCTCCAACCTAATCTTATTGATGGGTACATCTCACAGACCCCACCCCTCATAACACCATCATATGGTCATCGCAGCTGTTGCTTATTTGGAGAAGTGAGAGGAGAAAAGTATTAAGTTAATTGTAACTGTTCTGCTGATGGCTCCAGTCCAAGAGATGAATTTTTGCTTTCTCTCCTGCAGATTGAATAGCTAAGCTGGCATCTTTTCCATCTTTCCAGCTGCTTTAACATGGATTCACGCTCAGGGAAGAGCTGCTTGAATACCTGTAGAAGCAGCTGGAAGTGGGGAGTTGTAGCCAGCACCATGTAACCTGCCAGCTCTTTGCAGACCGCCAGAAAATATTCTGCACACTAACAGTGGTCCGTAGACCACAGTTTCAGAACCACTGCCACTGAGGGGTGTGTTCACTTCTGTAGCAGATGACATCTCTTGGAAGGCAGTTGCTGTATGAATGGGATTATTAAGGGATGGAGGATTGCATCCATATTGGTAGCAAAAGATACTTCTCAGAGTCAGAGAGGGCTATGTTACTATAGGAGACGCCATCTCCTGAGGTTGTCTTGATAAAGTTGGTAGCACATGGTATTTTCCAAGGAAGATGCTCACATTAAGTCTCTGGAATGGATAGCATCATGATTGGGGTGATGCTAACACTGGTAAGATACTCAAGCTTTGTGGGGCAGGACAGAGAGAAAATCTTTAACAGGAGGCACTTTTTGAGGGTCATAGTATTGTCAGTGGAGGAAGGCATCTTCAGAGTGTCATGTTAAAGTCAATAGCAGGCGCAGTTTTCTAGGATGTTGTGTTTGTGGCCAGTGGCATCTCTGCGGGGAAGGCTTTTGGTGAACATCTACTGCAGAAGGTGGAATGTGTAGACGTCTGCTGCAGAGGACATCCCCTGTGGATGTCACATTATACAGCATCTCCTGGGATGAAGGGTCATCCCAAGGTCATAGCGCTTGGTGTTTATGATGATGTCTGATGCTTATGTTAAAACAAAATTATCATCTCAGGAAAAGTCACTGCTGTGTTATAAAAGGTTTTTGCAGACCTCTCAAGCTGTTGGTGGGGTGGAATGTGTGACAAAGGCCCAAAACAAGGGTTCCAAGACAATCATTCATGCAGGGAACTTGAAATGTTGTGGAATTCAATCTCTTAGCATTAATGACGCATTCTATAACCGCAGTTCGTGATTCTGCATTTCTGATCTAAATAATTTTCAGTTACAAAAGTGACAGGAGATGCCAGATTGGTGTGGAGTGTAGGTGACTGGTGCCTACAATGAGGGACATTTGAGAGACTTTGATCACATGCCTTAAAAAAAAAAATTAATTGCTCTCCTTCTCCCTCAAACAGTTGTTTGTAATTTCTTCCGTGTGGTTTCTTTATCCTCCCAATACTGATTTATACATAATTACATGCCAAAACACTACATTAAAAGAAAACTAAGTTGCCAAGTCAAGCACTCAAATGTTAGGAAATGCCTGAACTAGGGCTGCCTGTGTAACCTTACTCAGCCTCCTGGGGTCATGCATGTCTTTAATTACATAATCACATATAATTTATATCAATAGGACCCCTGCCTCATTCAGTGCATGGGATGGACAGTGCTCATTGAAAGAGTGGCTAGTCAACATTTCTTTTCATCCTCCTCATTCAGTGTGTCTCTCCAACTTTCCCCCGTTATTTACCTCATACCAGTCAAACCCTGCTCAGAAGACAGAATTATGAATTTTCTCATGGGCTTT